AAGCATCCCACTGCAGCACCCTAGAAGGGGTTTCCACTTTCGATACGTAGCAGTTTCATTCGGGTGTGTGGAGGATTGATCATCCAACGTGAGATTGTAGGGCGGAAGGGTTGACAAACTGGAATCGACCAGTGAAGCTCGAGTTCCCACCGGAAGTCCTATACGGCGAACTGTACCAGCGGTAACGCGCCACGTTTACTGCACGAGTTGGCGTGTCACACCAGCGTGGCTCGTATCCAGAATCTGAAGACTGCGTTCGTAGCGGTCCGGACCAGAAAACGCTGAAAACCTGGGACGGAACCAGATTGAATGAAAGAATTAGAAACAACCATAACGACCAAGTTCGAGACCATACTTATGCCAGGTATATTCGGAACCGAATCATCGACTGATTGGGTTGACAAGAGCTCGTGTGATCAGGCCAGCTTCCGCCAAGATTGTCTGGCGTCGACGGTACCAACCGTAAGATGGTTGTAGATGTGGGCTCAAGATAAACGAAAATCAAAGAAAAAGAGAAAGGTGTAGCATGTATGTAGTATGAGGAAAAGATCCTATGCCATATCCGTTGTTGATTGGGTGGTTAATCGCGAAAGCCCACCGGTAGGCGTGCGGTAGAAGAATTTTTCTGTCATTTCGCGATACCTTTATGAATCGTAGTGCGATGCAACATATTCATGGTCCGTTATTAGTTTTTAAGGTTAGTCTAAATATTTGGTGGACCATGAAAGAGTGCCTCGTGATGTGGTGTGAGTTCCCAAATTAGTTGATAAATCACTAGTATCTTGAACCTGGCGATTGTGTCACTGATACGTATAGTAATTGGCAATGTGTTCCACAATAGACTGAATCGTTTGTCAAAGAAATTACTATAAAGTTATATTTACTCTTGCAACTCGCCTTTAACTCGAAAAGTGCATGTTCATACGCGTCTCACCCAGCCCGAGACCAAAAACGATAATTCGGGGAGAAAACGGTTCTATTTGTATTAAACAATATTACACCTTCGAGTTTCCAATTACCACAATAGGTTCCGTTTCTGGAAGAATAAGTGCTTCAAGTCCGTTACTGCTAGAGTATCAAATCCAAATATGGCTGTAGCCATATTAAATATCAAATTTAAACAACATATGTACAGTTCAGAAGGAAACATAAAAACTTCAATATAAGTACAAGATATAGAAAAAATAACAATATACAATGATAAAATCTCAAAACTGAATCAAATAGAGTACCAAAATATCAACAGAAAGAGTCAGTCATATCGTAACACAAATATATATACATGGAGGGATTTTCGAAAAACAAAACCTTCAAAATAGATTCTACAATTACATCGCAATGATTTCTTGTGTTTTTCCGTTATTAGTGTATACTCGTTGTTTCTAAGTCTGTAAGCAGTGTTGTGATTCATAATTGGGCGGTATTTAACGAACGAGAGGTCACATATTATTTCAAATAGAAGTCTTAGTTTGTTTTTCAGCCGACGACGCCATAGAGGTTCTAGGGAAAGATGTTTACATCCTGCTGTGTAGCGGAGGATATGGTTCCATCCTAGCAGTCACTGTTCGTAGCTACTCTGAAAATTCTCTACTCGTATATCGTCGGTGATATTCATGTTTCAAAAGATAAGTGAGGGGGGAACTTATACACATTTCGAACATTATAAGCGCAGGCTCATCTTTCCAGAAGTCCTTGTCTATAAACCCTATTGGCTTTCTATATCTAGAAATAATAGATGTAGAAAGTTCTGCGAATTTTGGGTTTTCAGAGTAGTGAATACTTAAATAATGCTGCGATGCGACTGTCTGAACTCTTCAATTTCTTAAGTAAAGACGTTTTTCATAGTGATGCTAACAAAAATGCATGATGCCACATTTATTGTGATTAAGAGGTTGCTGCCATGTTTCGCTACAGGTAGATAAGTTATTAGGATCACTGTTTCCTGGCTATGTTTTCCCTGGATAACTCTACTGGTTATTGGTCTTGGTGATGAAAGACAATCGTCGTATTTAACTATTTGTTGGCGCCCATTTAGGAATGAAGCAAACCACGAATGTAGTGGGTTACTGATTGCGGGTGACTTTAGTATATGAAGAAGTATTTTGTGTGGTATCTTATCTAAAGATTTCTTAAAGTTGAAGAAAATTGCTGATACTAGAAGCCATTTGTCTTGTTTTTGAGTAATATCACTGAATGAATCTAGCAGGCATGTGTCTCACGACCTAGACCTCAAGAACCCATGCCGTGAGGTCGATATGAGATTGTTATTAAGTAGACGTTGCATTAAATCTGCCTTAACTACTTTCTCCATCACCCTAGATACTACTGAAGTTATGTTGACGGGTCGGTAATTTTAAATATTCGCTGTAGGACCAGATTTAATTGTGGTTATGATATATGTAGTCTTCCAGTGAGTAGGGTAACACTATGTGGAGAGTGATATAGTAAACAGTTTAAGAAGGATAGCACACAGATCATTGCTCCCATTTTTCAGCATGCTGGCTGGGATTCCATCTGGTCCTTCACTGTAAAAGTGCTTCAGAATAGTAATCGCCTTAGAAGTGTTCTGTACACTAAATTCAACACTGGCGATTTCACAGGAAGACTTTGTGGGCAGGTGTGATTCATTTGTTGGGTCTACGTTCGTTAATGTAGCACAAAAATGTTCGCTTAACAGCTCTGCGATACTTTTACGGTCTTCATACACTTGGTTGTCCTTATTAAATATGCTGCCTCTTTTCACTTTGGAGCATTAAAGTTTAGTCTGAAGGAGTTTTAAGAAAGCAGAGGATTCATTGTTCGGCTGAACAGCACGCTTTTCCTGAGCAATCGCCTTTTTAGTACGTATTATCTCTGCCTCGACACGTATTTCAGTCATCGTAACTAATGAGGAGAATGTATTACAGTGATGAAGTCTTGAAGCATGTCTTCGAAGACGTTTTCGTATATGACCTGGCATATATAAGTCCTTGGGAACTCCGGTCTCCACGATCCTAAGGGTGCAAATATATTGAATATATTATTTGTGTTGTGATTAAATACACTTATTAGTTCACCAGTATTGTTTGCAGTAAGCTAGTTAATCCAGTCAATGCTTCTGAGGCAAAGCCGGAAGATTTCCCGATCAATCCTACAAAAGTCCCTACGAATTGTAGTGAATTCACGTTTTATGGTTGTAGCTCCTATATCAAGTCTGCATATGACCATATTATGATCGCTACCTGTGAACGTTTTTCCAACATACATAGTATTAGGAATGAGATTGCTGGTGAAAACTAGATCCAATGTATTTTGACTTCTGATTGGGACGTCAACATGTTGAGTCCACTCTCGAAGCATTCAATAAATGATTCGAATCTTCTAGGTGCTTTGATTTGGAACCAAGAGTTTTCAGGCATGCTGAAGTCCCCACAAATAACCTTGCTTGTAAACGGTAAGGATGAAACGAATGTGAATACTTCTGACAATAATACTAGATCTCCTGCTAGTGCGTTAGGTTGATGGTAAACACAGTTGAACAGTGTGGAAACTGCATTTGAGGGCTTCGGAACGACCCACACAGAATCTTATAATTTGTTTAGTTCCTAAATACCGCATAGAAGTTAGTTCAGGCTACAGTGGGCATATATGAGGCATTCTTCATCTCGTCCTTGAAACACATCACTTCGAAATAGATCATAGTTTACAGGCGAAATACTTAGATCTGTAATATTACTGACGGTCCATGCTTCAGGTATCATTATAAATGATGGCTGGTAAATCTCCACAAATATGGCTAAATCCGCCTTTTTGTTACAGATTGAACGAGCATTAATAAAACATATATTAAACAGATGTCAAGCTAAGCAAAATAGTTGGGAGTATCTTGAGTAAAGCAGTTACTTTGACCTACGTAGGTGTGGTATTAGGGGTTGTTAGCCCTGGCAAACGGTGAGAACGTCGCTTGTTTGAGAATGTGTGGAGGGAGTATTTTTATAATCTTCATTTGCAATAAAATGACTTGGACAAAGTATCGCGCTAGAGCAACCACAAGTGACTGTATCCCAGAAAGATTTTGGGTCGGTTAACATTGCGGTCATCACCTTTTTTAGTATGCACTTGGTGATAAGACTCGTTGCTATGGATATATTTATTTGTACCGGTTTTAACTTTGAGAGGCTTTACGGCGTTCAAGTGCCAGTTTTAATTACATTTTATAGACCTGCGCTCATTTTTGCCAGCCGGCTTTGTAGGGTGCAATGTGCCGAGTCATCATTCTGTTGGCTTATGCGACTAAATGCTTGGGTATTCAGGATAGGGTGTGGGTTGAAGAATATTCTGCTTCCACATTCATTAATAACTCCAGGGCTCGGTGGTTGTTCACCTTGCTAGCAGATATCACTGCTGTTTCTAAAGCATTTTGGATATCATTCCAAGCTGTCTCGGGATGGGCATCACCAACTACTTGACTGCCTGACTGTTTTTCTAGTTATTCCTGAAATATATTCTTAGCTAGGATATCATTTAGTAGAACCACGTCCCACGTACAGTAGGTCGCATCCAAATACGTGCTCATACTATAGCATGTTCTGAGTCTAAACAAGTGCTCTAGAATGAGCGGCAGTCTTTAATAAGGCCTTTCCACCAATGACTTATAGCGGTGTGATTTAGTTGGGTTGGGAGTTTGGAGTTAAAAATTAACTTATCTGCTAATATCATGATAAGTATGCTGCTCCTATCGGGGGGGGGGTGCTAATGTGCTAGCTAAGTAATTCCAACACTATTAATCCCAGCCTGCCACACCCATACCAGCATATTTGTGTATCAGGACTTCTTTTTACTTGGAAGTACATGTTCGCATAGTTGCAAAATATAACATACACCAAAAGTACAAGGAGTTTTCAAAAAGTGAGTGCATGAAATTCAACTTCATAGTACTTTGTTAGCAAAAGCATGTTGTTTAAAATGGTCATTTAGATTTATGCTTACATGCACTTTTGAACGTGCGCAGTTTGTGTGCGATGTTATTGCTGGCTCTATGGATGTGTGTGAAACTTGTACACGCTCTTTCTTTGAGTGAGTAAAACCGTAATTTTCCAAATGATTTTTGAAATCAGATTTCAGCACTTCGTTATCAATCCTAGAAGGTGACTCGTGGATTGTCACTCGGTCGAAAACGATTTCTCTTGGACGGCCTTTAAAGTTGCGATGTTCAGCTACTAGTCCTGATAATATAACTATCTACCGCAAAGATTATGACATAAATGCAACGACGCAACTTGTTACAAAATTTGGTAGAGATGTTCTGTGGGAAGTCGCTGAGACTGGGTTCTCTGAATCTGGTGTTTATGAATGTATCTCTAGAGGATTCTCTAATATACTCACAGTATATATTTATTCAGGTACGCCTTATTTATATGCATTGGAGTTTCAGAATATTCAAATTTATGATGAGACTATGATCAATAGCAGAATCAACGAAACGACATATTGCTGGTTCTGTATTTTGCACGAATGAGATCCTTTTATATGGTTAAATATAGTTTCCGCATCATAGTAATTATCATTTAGTGTTAGAACCCTTAAGGTTGGTTCTTAACTCGAACTTATAGTTATGAATCTTCATTCTTATGCATTTTATCATTATGAAACACTCAACGAACATTATTAAATGGTTTTTCACTAAGCCACTTTGGTGTCCCTCAAAGGTTGTCTATAAATTATTGTCTAGCTGGTCTATAAATTGAATTTTTACTTTAAACTTTGGCCGCGGTAGTATTGTCAGAGTAGAACTAATGGATAAGGAAAAAAGGTCAGATGACCTATTTAATCTTTATAACTTTTTATAGTATGAAGATCCAATCTCAACGCACCAGTAAAATATGTTTGTGTTTTCTGAAATATTAGAGAATTTCTTGACTATGTATGAGAAATAAGACGATATATCTGATTTTAGGTCTCGACTCCTTTGAAGGCGTTCTTTCATATAGTCTATCCTAATACAGAAAAATATTGTAATAATACCAGCCAGTAAAATTATATAGGTTCATCCCCGAAACTTTGATGGGACAGAGTAATTAAGTTGACGCATCGCACATTATCTTTTCAAAGTCACACAAAAAGTCGGTCAGTCAGTTACTATGTAGCTTTTCATACGTACTTACACCAGTTAAAGTTGCCATACTATAATAGCCCACAGACGCAATTGTCAATTCAAATCCCATAGTATTAGACGTAGTAGAACTATAAGCAGTAGTTAGAAAGATTAATGATCAAATATATACAATATATGTATATATATATGTATATATAATAGTTATATAATTCGAGCTGCATACCCCAGAGTAATCATTTAAGAAAAGAGAAAAAACAGTCATGAGGAATTCAGAAGATCAGGATTTGAGAGAACACAAAGAATGAATGCACTTGCGCCATTGCAAATGGTTTTAAGCCATGTAGTTCAAGGTCTCTAACCATCGATTACTATCATCTCGCGGACCCCAACCAGGTAGTCCACATATATCAACATGACTCAATTCAGTTGTCAATGACTTCATGGATTTGTGCCATGTTTTTATTTGGCTTGTCCTAGCTTTCTTCCTACCCACTCCTACAGCGCAAATATAGCTCGACGAGGCAGTCGGTGGTTGGGCGTAGGTAACACATGTCCTAACCACCTCAACTGATTAAGTTTCAATACGTCACCTATTGATCTGCCATCCTTACCTAGTACTCCTTTCCTAACAATAGTATTTCTTACTCGGTTATCCCATGATACACGAGCAATGCTTCGAAGAGACCAATGATCGAAAACCAGCAACTGACGAATATCCTCCACTCTTACTGGCTATGTTTCGCAACCGCAAAGTAGTACGAAGCGAACCGCTGCGCAGTAGACTCGTCCTTTAGTCAACAGATGGACATCTCGCCTACACCATAAATGATACAAGTTGGCAAAAGCCAATCGAGCCCTATTCATCCTTAATGAAACTTCGTCACACACCGATCAACCAGCACTTATAAGACTCCTTCTATAAGAGAAGCGGTCACCACGTTCCGCAGCCTCACTCCCCATCGCAAGTTCGGGTGCCGATGTAACCCGATCCCGAAGCAACAAATTGCTTTTCGACGGGAACAATCGCATTCCGAACTTGGTTTGAACAACTTGTTTGAAAATCCGACAATAACTGTTGTTGCAAAGATGCTCCAGTTAATGAGACAAACCACCAAGTACCTCTTTTGTAACGTAGGAGGACTAAGGGTAAGATTTAAGAAATCAGGAATATGTGCTCTCAGATGAAGCGGAAGACCATAATCCTAACTGAAACATGGCTATCCCCCGACATTGCAGACAGTGAAGCGAGCTTGCAAGGCATGACACTCTTCCAATGCGATAAGGCACATGCAACATGAGACGGAGTGGTGATATATATCAACAGCCATTTGGCTGCCGAAAGACCACGCGGAACCCAACTAACCGATGTGATAGAATCATACTGGTGTTGCTTCAACACAAATGGCACAAAATACTTGCTTTGAGGGATTTACCGGCCTCTCTCAGGTACTAAGGCCCAGAAAGATAAACTGACTGCCACTCCTTGGATTTGACCAAATGCTCTTAGCTGGAGATCTCAACAATCCATCTGTGAATCTCAGAAAACGTGGTACTATTCCATTGGTTGGTTCCAAAGACGACTTGGCGCAGCCATTAGAAGTTCCGGGATTACTAAACATGTATGCAGCACCACTAGATGAATTAAGGATGGAACATCCTCCAACTTAGATTATTTGTTAACAAATGATCAGCTCCTGGTTGAGGATCTTCACGTCTACACACCAATAGGAAGTAGTGACTAGGGCACAGTGCAGCTGAATGGAAACAAGCTACTCTCTACAACCTTCAAAGGAGCAGACAGGAAAGACTCAGCCTGTTACAGACCAGTCGCATTACTACCAGTAGGATCAAAGGGGCCGGTGAACGAGCAAATGAGGGAGTACACGGATAATAACAAAATTCTCCATGAAGCTCAACGTGGGTTTCGGGAAGGCAGGTCGTGCGTATCCAAACTTCTCGTAGCATGGGACAGTTGGACATCCTGGTTTGACCGAAAAATACCGATGCAAATAATATTTCTTGACTTCGCTAAAACCTTAAACACAGTACCCTACACATTCTTAATCGCTAAGGTTGCGAAATGGGCTTCACTGACCCAATCCTATCTTGGCTCAGAAACTACCTTCAGAATAGAAAGTCTCCTACCAAGATAAATTGAGTGCACGCCAGTTGGCTAGTCTCAACATCGGGAGTTTCACGCAGGACTATCTTAGTTCCACTCCTCTTCCTGATATTCATTAAAGATCTGTTAGACAAAGCTAACTTGGCGGCACCAGTCTACACAGACGATGCAAAGATTTGAAGGTCCATTAGGAGCGAAGAGGATTCAAATGAGCTTCAGAAGAACCTTACATCTATTAAGAAATGGGGGATGAAAAACCGCTCAAAACTAAACCAATCAAAATGTTACGTTATGTACATTCAGGCCCACACGACACAAATGATTTAAATCCCCAATGGAAGTCCACCCCCTAATATCTTCTCATCGCGCGATCTCGGTTTAAAGCAGCTCAAGCTTTTAGGGGACGTAGCCCCCCTGAGTTTCAGGAGCATCAGAGGCGATCTGATGATGGTGTACAGTATACCAAGCAAACCATATCATCCAAATGTGAGCATCTTACCGAAACGTAACTACCATGCTCCTCGAGGTAATCCTCGAAAAATTGCGCATCATGGGGCGAACACCGAGGTTAGTGCACCTTTTTTCTCCTTACGAGTCGTTTCAATTTGGAACGCTCTCCCAGCCGAAGTGACCACAGCCCCCTCAGTAGACAGAATTAAGAAGAGACTTGACAAACAAATACTTGCATACGGATTGTGATCTCCCTCGTAGGCAAGCTGTACCTGATGAATGCCTTGAGACTTGGTAGTCGTTATTATTGTCGTCTTAGATCAATAACATAATTTATCTGGCCTGTTATTTCTGTTTCCGCTCCCTTGCCTATATTTCGGTCCTCTCTCACAATCCTCACTGCCAATTCATAAACTAAATTATCCAGTCATTTACTTAGTTCTGAAATCTTCTCATTAGCATTAGACTTTTCGCCTCATTATTCTAAACACTGAAACCAACTGATCTCTGGTCTGGTAACGTGGTAGCTGCTGGTATACAGAATTCCTACTGCCCTGAAACAAAGGTATTCATTCAAATCACGGTACATACAAACACAAGCAACTGCCAACTGACTATAATCAGTGTGGTCGAGTGGCTGGAGGTCATAGGCAACCGAAGTGTCGCTGAAGGCCAGTTGAACTGATTCCAGGAGTGCCCTGCCTATCGATCAAATTTCCTGAATCGACAATGATTATTAAGCCTATCCTTTTCCGAGATAGTCTCACTTACAGTTGGATCCCTAATTCTGATTTGCTTGATAAGTCTGAACAGTTGTCTATTGTTACTTATCGCCGAAGCCTTTTCCATCTCTCTTCCTTTCTCTCGCCACCATTGTTCGTGATCTTGGCGTAGGCTTTTATCGGCCTGCACTTTGTTCTTCGTCATGTCCAGAGCCAGGTGGGATGAGTTTCTGAACGTCTCTCAGTTCTGAGGATGCTACTGAGATCCACTGCTTCTTCCTAACCTTATGGTTTACCTTACTAGCAGATATCACTGCTGTTTCTAAAGCATTTTGGATATCATTCCAAGCTGTCTCGGGATGGGCATCACCAACTACTTGACTGCCTGACTGTTTTTCTAGTTATTCCTGAAATATATTCTTAGCTAGGATATCATTTAGTAGAACCACGTCCCACGTACAGTAGGTCGCATCCAAATACGTGCTCATACTATAGCATGTTCTGAGTCTAAACAAGTGCTCTAGAATGAGCGGCAGTCTTTAATAAGGCCTTTCCACCAATGACTTATAGCGGTGTGATCTAGGTGCGTCATTCGCTGAGTCATTTTTAAGGGTCGTCAGGTCAAAATATACCTTACCTTACGCTTAAAGTTAGTGTTTTTTAGAAATAGGCGGTTATCTGAGCATAGTTGCATTAGACGGTCGTCATTGTCTGTTCGATGAGCCGTGACAACTTAAGATCCACCTAGATGTCTTTCCTTTTCACTTAGTCTACCCACTTGAGCAATAGAGTCACCAGCCATCATTACTATATCAGACCGCTTACCTTTCTGAAGAAGTTTAGAGAGGTTTCTGTAAAACTTATCTTTTTATGTCGCCTGAATTGTAGGCAGTGGAAGCGTAGGTAGATATGACGAAGAGGCAAAGCCAAGTTTCCCTATCTTTACGATTCCTTAATGTCCTATAAGCGACTGTCTACCGGGATCCAGTCTAAGAGAATTGTTTCTGCCCTGAGACTTAGTACTATACCTACAGCAGCGAGGTCACGGGAAGTAGCAGTATCGCTTCTTGGCAAGCGAATCGTAAAGCGAGTTGATTCTGTCTCTGAACAAGGTGAAATGAAATTAATTATTTTATTAGGATCCTGTTTGTGAGTTTTGAAGACGCAACACACATCGATGTCATGAGATTCCGAAGTCCTAGCTATGAAGCGTGATGTCTGATTTGATACAAGGTTCAAACATTAAAAGCCCTATCACGTAGTTTAGAGCTGGGTTTCAGGAGACCAGGAATAACACTTTTTTTAGCTCAAAACGTTTGTATCAGCGGTGCGAAGTTAAAAAAGAAGAAAGAATGGTTGGTCGTGGAGATAAGAAAGTTTTAGGAGGTGTAGAAAGGACTTGGTTGTGGCCAATTCAGTCTCGTGTGCTTTTACGGGTATGAGGGCGGTTTTCACTTCCCAGCTGCTCACACCGTGCATGAGCTTTGGTTGTCAGAAGAACCATCAGCCTAGTGACTTCGGAAGGAGTTGAGCTTTCATCATAAGACGTCATAACTCTTCTAAATGAAGACCCTCTAACTTCCAGAGCAGAGTTTAAATAGTTTGAATTACTTTTTCTGGTTAGCGTTTTTTATCAAGTTAGTTTTCTACGGGATGGGGTCGCTAACCCCAAGCATATCACCCCTCCTTCATCCGGTCTTGGGACCGGCATGAGCCGTGAATGGGCTCTAGGTGGAGTTAAAGTCTCGAATAAAGACTTCTCAGCATTTTAGTCCGTCATCCTTGAACCTCACACCTGCACATCTTGCTCATATTTGAGACGAGTGCTATCTGATTAAATCCAATGTTTCATTTTACCTTAAATACATTATGTATATTGCTTTTAATATATTTTTTTCGTCAAAATGCCCTGCACATTAGATCCAAAGATTTTTAACTCTGGCTGTCTCAGTTTTTCAGCATTACGTCTCAACTCTTATAATCAATAACTTTTGTCGAAGGCCTCCAAACTCTGTTCGAATTCCCTCATACAGACCGCCAATTAATTCACTTAGAGCATTTAAATCTTTCGTTTATTACTTACATAAAGCGTAAAAAGTATATTTTTTATTGTCCTTTCGAAAACCCCACTCTTCATACAGCCTAATGGGGATATTGTGAAGTTTGCCCTCACATACTGCTTTCCTTAATTGAAAAGGCCGTTAATCCAATTTCTAACTATACAATAAACATCAAAACTTCCCGACTTCTTTTCAAGACCCATAGGAGAGACCTTTACTAGAATCTATGAAAACTACATCTAGTAGAAAATTTTAACTTATCTCTGCAGCACAATCTTCCTCTGTAGTAAGATAAATTAAACATGAGTAATCTGCCCGAGAATCATACCGTTCCTTAGATAAGAGATTTTTTCTTTCCACTTTACATATAATAACAACTCGAATAATCCTTTTCATTACCTTAACTACAATATTAATATGACTGACTAAGCGATAGCTGTTTATCAAATATTTATCCACATTTATACAAACTGTACTAATTATTGCGTTCTTCCAGTTTATAGGCAGCTTCGATTGGCTCAAGGGTATATCAAATAGTCTTACCAGAGTTTTAGTAATTATAACTACCGGACTTCCTACAATCCATCAGTGGACATCATTAGACTCACCAAACTTATTTGACGTGAGATATGGTAGCTTTATTCTAAACCAGCACAAAATTCAGTGACATTTTTGCCGTCATCGAGACTAATGGTTCGCAGTTCACTTTCAGCGGTAAAAGTAAATACTTTGAGAATACCTAAGATTCGTCAACGTCTGCACTTGCAATCGCCGATAAATCTTCCTAAAGCGGAAGTGAGATTTGATAAATTCTTTGAGTCAGGAAAAAACCTAATGATATTGTTCCGGGAATCCTGGACCAGTTGTCCTTCATAGGATGACCTAACCTTTGCTATCAAAGCTAAAAATACGTTCTTAGTTTTACAGAAACAGAATTTGAACTGTTTAAAACCAGAAGCGATGATCAGATTTTCGATTTCATTCTATAGACAAGAAGTCTACTAGTCTCTTCTGTTATTCATGACAAACAGTTATGAACCCAAATCCATATTTAGATTGAAGCCCCTCTTCTTCGATGGCAGATTCAAAATTGAACGATTAGTCTTTTGGTACAACACACTGCTTGATCGCTGAATCTTTCTTGTCACAGGTTTTGTCGAGAATGAAACTGACCATAGACTATTTTGTAGACTTTGAACCTGAATGGCCAAGGTACATGATTTCAGTTTTTAAGATGTGGTAAAATATCTCGGCGGACAACGTTTGTTTCACACATAAGTGCTACGTTAACTGAAGACTATCTCTTGTTTAAACGAAAATGATTGCTTTCGTATAGATGATATACAAAACACGCTCCATCAAAGTAATGAGGAGCCTAATATAGAATGCATTATTAGATCACATCCAAGACATATCTTTCCAGTTAACGTCAATCAAATTGAAATCCCGCACAAGTTACTCATACTCGTAATGACTAATAAAGCAAGATCATCAGCTATACAAATTAGATTATGGTGGATATCAGCTCATTCTTAAACGCCTTGATAAAATATGCTTCTGAGCCCTGATCATTTGAGAATCTTCCAGTTGTCGGTTTTCATAGCCATTTCATTGCCAAGATAATAACCAAGGTACAGTTATTTCTCAATTCTATCTTTAAGAAACAAATCCTGCAAACTTTCAATTTTAATCTAAGTCTGTATACTATACGGATGAGGGACTTCTATCATCATGTCCAGGTCATCACCTCAAATGAGACTGAAGTCGTCTAAAACAGCCTTGGTTGTATGTAGTGTAAGGCCATACGGTGATTGTTTGATATCTATTTCTTGTACGCTTACTTGAAGAAAAAGTTTCAAAAGTGTTTCTTACGCTTCAGTAGCCATTCAATTTATATATATATACTCATGAAATGGGATCGTACAGCCTACATGTGGTCTCAAACTTATTCCAACATTTTTAAATCATACATTCTATAACAACTAACCAATCTGTTAAGTTAGCGCCGAAGTATTTGCCTGAAATTCATTCGACTGTTAGGAAACAAAGTTAATTATTTATTAATACAACCGTAATTCCCTTGTATTCTAAATTCCTATCAAAACCATCAGCTGTCGAAATAGCACTTACATCTGAACAAGATTGTTATATATGTAAATGAAGTCTTCTTTTTTAAATTTTAGTTATTGGAACAAGTGATGTCGTCGTGCCAACAGTAGAATATCTAGATAAAATAGGAAGTTTTAACTTTACAAGGCGACAATTGGACGACAGTACATTTCTAGATATAACTCGAAACTGGATGTCTTGTACGTGTGTTGTCGGGAGTGTAAAGCTATTAGATATTATCACTGTCTCTTGGAAAGGAGGTCTTTTTGATGATTTGTCTGCAAATCATAGTCAAATAAATCAAGTTTATTCTCGGATGACGACAAGAGATCCATCAATTAGGGCCATCAGAACCCGCCTTCGACTTAATTTACCGCGTAAGTTTAAACTCAGTGACGGAAAAGTCTTTAAATGCGTCCCAAAAGTGTTTTTCCACATTGTAAGTTATCAGTATACATAAGATAGTCATTAATCTTTGTTTTATAGTATCTAGTCAGCAACTAAACTCCTGTTTTACTTATTTAATTATAGAAAATCAAATATATTTCAAATAAGTTTGCTGTCTGAAAGTCATTTTCAGTAACCAGACGATTCATCATTAAGAAAGAGAACATACGTAGTTAGTCTATTTTATCTAACCTTAGGTCTTTTAAAACGTAATAAAATGGTATAGCCTTCTTTAAATTATTTGGAGATAAAGTTTAGAACTTAAATCTTATGACTTCAGGAGTAACTTACTATCTCCTTTGGCTCGAAAACGATATATTTTTTCTAATATATTTGTATATGGGTACACAATTTGTCTACATCAGTACATCGGCCGATGTCATTTTACATATACATTCAGCAGGAATCAGCAGAAAAAATGAAAATTTATATATATCAGTTGATAAGTTGTTTTCAGAATTGATACAATTTTTCTTATACATTAGAATTGTGTTGTTACTCCATGATCAAGTTTAAATGTTTTTTGATTGTTGGAAAGAGCACACTCGTTAACATTAGTATTATTTAAACACTACAGAGATGCTACTGATTTACAGATTAAACGAAAGAAAATTACATAAATACATTTATTGCCAAAACATGAATTTCTTATATTTCGACAACGTGTATTGTTACTTTGTTGCAATCTTATCTGCAGCAAGGCAAGTTATTCTTTAATGTTTTCTTACTAACTAAAATATCACGTTTATCATCGGACTTTAACTTGTAGGGGATCTATCAGTGTATATCATGGTCTTATTGAACAAGTAGATGACTCTCAAGAACTTTGAGGCTGTAGTAACTCGAAATAGCGCCATTCTACTCTCATAGCATAATATTTTGCATCAAATAAATCATCAAAGACTGCGCTAATCGGTTCTGGTCAACTTTAATCTTAAAGTAAATGATGCTTGCTGGTGGTTTTTAATCCGGGTCACTTAATTTCACAGTTTAGGCTACAAAAGACATATGTGGGACTAAAGTATTCATAAAGTTACTTATTCGGTTATTTATCAGTCTATCTATCATTGCATACATACTTATTCACGTTCAGTTTTTTACACTTGGTTATCGAATATCAATAATCTGCTGAGAATACATATGGTTAATTCAGTTAATGAAATTTTGAAAGTTAATCTTTTATGATTGGCGAACGTTATGACTTTTCAGGAAGTACGAGTTGAACTAATAATAATAATCATAATCAGTATAACTTATAAAATAATTCTAACAAAATTTCTAAAGAGTATTTTTTTTTTAAGGATTACCAAAAATACAATCATATTATTGTCCTTACTTCTAACACTTTTAGTTCTTGATCAACGAATATTTGGTCAATATCAGTGTTTATTTAGTTTCTCCAAAACAGAATATGCTGTAGCAACCGTTCATTTAAAAGGTAATTCTTATATTATACAGTTGATTGTTTTGTAAATGTATTTGTTTTTTCTTTTATGTATAATTATATTTTAAAATTATATTATAATACAAGTGCATATATTTTTTGTTGTTGTAACATTTGTAAATAGTTGTTCAAATTACTTCTTTTCAATATGACTAGCTGACCTTCCAAGTTAATTTAATTTAGAAGTAGTAAATATAACAGCATTGCTCAACTAGTAATAATCATGTGTTCAAGTAGTTATAAATTTCAAGAAGTAATTCTCAAACTTATAGTTTGAAGCTATGATCTATCTAACATGAGGCAGTTGTCCAGAAATGTCATCAGGAGGTGGTTATGTAGCACTGAAAATTATTTGAAGTTTTGAGTGTGTAAAGAATTTTCTGGGAGCACAATGGTCTAAAGATTGGGCTCTCACATGGAGACCTAAACATCAAGAATTTGATCCTTGATAGAGTCATGATAGAAGAATTTTGAAGAGTTCTACATTAAGCTGAAATAGTTGATAGTAATTCCTAATTTGTTTTAGCTATTTGACTACGATTAGTCTCTGATATAACTATGAAACTCAACAATCTCTACGAATTCGTTTCAGTGAAAATCATTTCGATTCAACTCTGAATAATTTGTAATGATATAACTGCACTTACTATCTATGCATTATTACCTAAAATATTAAATAATCAAGTTTCTTAATATTCATTATGATATAATAAAAAGTAATAATGAATCACCCGTAAACAGTCTGTTTTTCCTATCATTTAAATGTAAACCAAAAATAAGTTATCAATATCAAAGTTGAACTTGATAGTTTCAAATAAATTGAACATTGAGCAGGAAGTTAATGATGATGAAATGATTATAATTTTTTTGGTGATATCTCAATGAGTAAGAAATTTGTATTTCTGACTTCATGACTTCATGCAAATCATTTCTTCAAAGTAATTAAGTAAATAATCGAAATAAATTAATATTGGTTTAAACAGTAAGGAAGGAAATAAAGCAGAACATTTTTAGTCAAGTCAAAATCTTAAGAGTCTGAACATGTCAATGTCATTTCATTTTTGAGTCATTGCGATTCTATGGGAGATCTTCAAGCGTTATACGTATGTATGAAGAAAGGTTAGTGAGAATATGTAATTTTTAACATGAAGCAGCGAAGCTAAACAATAGTAAAAAAATCGTGTGTTTGAGTGTTTCGAAATGCGGAGACACAGAATTGAGTGAAATGTGATTTATTGGATAAACAGTTTATGTTGGATGAATAATCAGGCCTTCTTTCCTACTGAGGGTAGAGAGATTTAGCATTATATGAAATACTTCGGCTAATCGTCTCTCTTTATAATTGGAAAAGCCTCTCTGAATTATTTTGATATTTCTAATATCGATTTTGTGATTGTTGCCAATAGCATTTACTGCTGTTTCCGATTTAGTATGTAAATTTTCCAGATGTACAGGATTATTAGGTCTTTTTGTGTAGCTTAAATGTACTTTGGCATTAGTCAAAATCTCACAAAAACGCACCAAGTAACTAATAATTATTTCATTATCAAAAAAAATAGGATATAATAATTTTTCTTGATTATTGACTTCTTTTACTAGCGATTTATCCAGTATTTACTGATACTAATCAACCAAAATAGATGAATCAGTCTTGTGCTCTTCTAGCTAACACAATTAACTACCGTCTGTAAACAATGTTGATAAGTATTTTAGTCGTGAATATTGACGGTATAATTATTAAAACAGAATAGGCATGAAACTGTTATATTGAATTTATCTGAAAGTTTCCATGATCACAATTAACAAAAATCTCCATTAAACATTGATATTCATCATAACTTTATGATTAACTTCACTCAATAGTATCAATGATCTCTTTCAAGTGAGACAACTTTTAAGTTTGAAACATCAATTGTCAATGAGAATTAGTAAATAATTAACGCAGATTCATAGTACTAATATCTCACAGTCACACTGTTATAAAATAGGATAGTACGAGATTTTCAATCCGAAGGAATGATTTATTTTATAAATCAAGTTCTTTCTTTAAACTTATATTCATATGGAAATTGATTTAATATGAGATTCGATTGTTGACCATGTTTTTGTTCAAAGTATGATAATTTATACTTAACCAATTTACAGTAACGGAACGGTTTTACTGTTATTTCTCTTTTTCATATAGCTTCATTTTATGTTTTATTATGATTATTATTACTATTATTATTGAATTCTAGTACCCCCCATTTTACGCCTAATTTATGATCCTCCACCACTGCCTCCATCTAATTCATCCGGTCGTTATACATGTATGAGTAGTCCATGTCAAACATTAATAAATGAAGATTATTCAAACTGGACAAATGCTTGTGAAATTCTTGTAGCTTATCCAACAATAAAACCTAAACATTTTGCATGGGCATGGACACAACCACAATGGGCAGGTTACATAATTAGACGAGTGCAAGAAGTAGGCAAGGCAAATGTACTTTCTGATTTTTCAATGTTGTTAAACGATGGTGAAGTAGATGGATATGGGCAATGGCAAGTATTGGAGCGTAGACGTAGGTCGATTACAATGAATAACGAAATAAAATATCCTAATCTTGCCAAATCTGAACCTATTCTATTTTGGTGTTGGGCTAAAAATGATATTGGGGAGACAACAGCCTGGTGGCCTGGTCCTGTTGAAAATAATAGTTATTCAAGTAAGTATCTCGAAGAAAAAAGTAAGTTATATTCTAAGTAGTATGTAATTCGTTTGAAACAGTACTTCATAGTAAAATTAACTGTGTTCACAGACATAATAATAAAAACAGGTTGATTAAGTTTACGCATTAGAAGTGTAGTAATGATACGTTTACAGCAATACAATCCTAACATATATCTCACATATAATGTAGACTTAAACAATTATTTAATAGAGTTTGCCTTGAGAATTCTAACTTTTATCGTGAGTTCACTTAATGAACAGCACTTAAATCAAATCTGTGTTAAGGGATGCAATGGTGAAGAGTTTCTAAATTTAATCCGCTATTAGACATCTATAAGTGAGGTTGCTTACACACTACTACAGTAAGCTGATCAGAAGGACAAATCTTCATACATCTGTGATTTATGTATATTTGAATTCTCTTTTGGTATTAAATTTCCTAACTCATTTCGGTGTGGGATGCTGAAGTTGTTGTGATAATACTGTTCCAAAAGCTAAAGTTATCTAGTTTTTCCGAAATAAATAATCATCCTTTATAAAAAAATAGACTTAACAACTATAATGCAGCTATCTCAAATATACTTATATCATTTGGTGAGAATATTTTTGTTCGCAAAGTCATAAATAATATTAATTATCATTGTTAGTTACTAACAGGCAGTAAAAATTTCATCTTGATTATCTTCGATTGGCGAGTTGTTTTTCTACGGTCGCTAACCCCATCCCAAATCCTCCTCCTTTATCCGGGCTTGAGACCAGCAGTAACCCCAGAATGGCTCCGGGTGGAGTTGTATAGGACGAATTTTAAGTGAATTTTAGTAAGTAAAGTCACTGATCCTAAACTTAGTAATTTAGGGAATGATACGTTCAGCGTTGAAAACAAAAGGTACAAACTTTCGAGTCTGATTGTAAATATCAGCATTGGGATCTGGGCACATTACGTTGACTAGTTCCAAATGAGAAGAAATGTGCATTCTCTATTCGACTGCTCACTACCACTAAAACGTTATAATAATCTTCAATTAAAAGGCATTGTCGAGGTGTTTGGCTTGTAACTCATATGTGCTAATAGAGAGTGATCAAATACTATCCTATCCTATCAACTATCGGAAAGCTCAAACCCTCAAAAAAATATATATACATATATATAATTCAAAATTTAACGTTTAAGACTAAACATTATCTTCATATGTAACTGCATTTAGTGGTCTACTATATTAGTTAAGTTGTTGGCCTTCAATGATAGTGCTTGATGATTTTCCTTAATATGAATTTTAACTATTAAATCATTATTATAAATCGATTTATTATTCTATTTTCTTTTGCTCATATTCATTTGTGTTTTGTTTTAAAATTATTTATTTTATTTTAACAGTCTGGTCATCTGTTTGGTGGCCTTTACTTGGTGTTTCATTTGAATTATTAAGTTTAATCATTGTATTTACACTATTTCGTTATTGTCGTCGACAAAGAAATCGTTTTGGTATAAATAGTAATACAACAGAGACTGGTGTTTCATTTGGTCATTCACGTCTATTAGATATAGATGTAGATACTGATCAAGTTGAAATGATCAAAGTAATTAATCCTATAACATCATTGTCATTATCGTCTACTTCATCAAATATTTTACATACTCATGGATCAATACCTTATACACGTTTAGGTTATCGAAAAAATAGCAATCATATGAAGGATAAACACAATAACACTTCTGCTACTGCTACGACTACTACTACTACTACTACTACTACTACTATGGATAATTACAGTAACAGTAGTAATGACAATAATAATAATAATGATAATAATAATAATAATTGTAATAAAATGTGTGATTTAACAAAAGTCAGTATCAGTCACTCATTGGTTGATGGTTATTCAAATTTAAATTTAACTCAAGATTCCATCGATGCTGACGTTGACGCTATGGTGATCAATGTGCAAAAATTATCAAATGACCATGATTTAAATGAGGATGAAGACGATTATTTTTGGGATTCAGATACTGGAAATAACGAAGATAAACGATATAAAATAAAGAGTAATCATTAAACATTTACCATATATATATATATATATATATATATATATATATATATACCGATCGTCTGTAGAAAAAAAGTGAGCAACACTTAATTTTACTAGTATTGTGTATTTATAATCAAACTAGATGGATTATTGTGTCTCATTCTATATGCAACTTATCAAGTGGACATTATTTTCATTCATGTATTAAGTTCATGTTAAGACTAAGACCCAGTATCTCTTACTTCTAAACTTGTAAAATAATACAGTCATATCGAGGCAATTTCGACATTAACGATCCAATTTTTAATCTTATTTATAAACATTATGCTCATTAAAATGCCTACTATACATAATATAAAATTTATTAAGATACTTTAACTGTTTGAAATATTTGATTAGTTCCGTTTCACAATGATAAAAAACATTTATGCTTGGAATAGTATGGAATAATTTAGAGGAAATTTGTTAGTGAATTTATCAAGATTTTCATAATCATCAGTTTGATCGAATACATATTTTTAATTTTTTTATCACAATAATTAAAATACATTACTTAAGATGAATTCATATTTCAGCTGACCTTATTGTTGAAATAAATTGATTCGATGAATGTCATTTAAAAATGTATTTTGAATATTTGTAAAACAATTATTAATTTAATATTTAAGAAATGAAATTTTCTTCCTTGTCATAGTAGTTATTTGAATTTCACATGTTTTTTGATAGTAATTTATAGAATTTAATGAACACTAAATTACAGATTTAGATCAAGATTATGTTTTGGGATTATATTGTTTTGATAATATACAGTAGTTAGTTTATTCTCTAGGTAAAAACGTATTTTACTTGTTTTAAAAAATATATAAAACTCACTCTGTGACAATAATTACTCACTTATTTATGTCTGTTACCCCTCATGGAGCATAGGCCGTCAACGAAGATTCTCCAAGCGATTGTGTCCTGTGCTCTCATTTCCAGTTGTCGTCATATGCTGTTCAGTCGTCTCATGCATGCCTCCAATTCTCGGTGCAGTGTGTTTCTTGGTAAAATAATAACTGACAAATTACTTAATTTATAGATTACAACATGAAATGATCTTAGTTAGAATAACCATTGAAAACCTGAAAGCATTTGATAGATGTTTTGTACAATGATGGACTTTTCATCAGTTCGGATCCAAAACGTTGTTATAATCTTCGTATAGTAATTAATCATGTGCCTGCTAGTGACTAATTTTGGGGGGTAATTTCGAAGTTTCGGTAAACTTCAGCCATGTTGCATATGAAGAAATTACAGACCAAGTACATAGGAAGATAGTTGCACGATATTAAAAGTTGACACATGTTAAATGCATAAACCACTGGATCCCAGATCAACAACTTAAAGGTTAAGCGTTCACGCTCAATACCAAAGGTCCTAAATTTGATACCTGATAGTTGTTGGTTCATAGCCAATGTAAAGGTGACTCACACTAGCAAATAACATTTGCCTGCTATTTTCTGGTTTCCGGTACTTGTACAATCAAATTCAGATCGTATTGTGAACTATAAAAATTCAAATATTTGTACAAATTTAGGAACAATCGTAAGTATTAGTTAGTATCCGGTTTTTGTTCTGTTTATTGTTTTCATATCATTAGGGCAGTTTTTTTTTCATTCAAATTCACTTATATTTTTCCTTTCTAATTTAAATAACAAATAGAATTGAATGACTATTCAGGATGCGAAAGTCCACCAAAAAAGAAAACAAAATTAACAGTTATAAAATGTTTCGTCTATGTTATTGCATATCATATTATTTATTATGTTCAAATTATCATCAGTCTATAATTCAATATTTTCATTTTGTAATCTTGAGCTTGCAAATTATTTGGATGTGAAAAAGACGAAAAATAAAAACTACTTTCTAATAAAAATTACTTCAACTCCATACTCTAATGGAATATCATCTATTCATGTATGATATGTATTCATTCAAATAGTGCATAATAATAATGATAATCATTATAATTATAATTATTACAAAATTATGAGAACAATTCAATATTTAACTGATTGATATTGATGAGATTTTATCAGAAAATGAAGTTAATTCAACTATTCAAATAAAAACACTCGTTAATTTATTACTGTCTATTCATTCATATTTCATTCAGTTATTGACAATTTAATTTCTCATATTGTCGTCGTATTTGTTCAAGTGTATTATTAACAAAATGTTCATTCATATATAGATCTGACTTTGCTTTTTTTTTTCTTATCACTTCATTACATAATTGTGTAATAAATAGAGAAAAATATTTCAACGTTTCATTCGTTGAAAAGTCAATATTCTTGAAGACTTATACAATCATTGTTTTATGCAGAATTATGTTATGTATATTTACTAGTCAGTCGTCATCTTGCTGTTATCAATTCAACTGGATAATAATCACTGAATAAGGTTTTTTTTTAATCTATAATTCTCAACTAACAATTCCTCTAAATATTTTATTGTGATATATTAATTGAAACTACTACTACTACTGCTTACTCTACCTAGTCATATCTATCATTGATCATGTTGTTTTCTCTTTGATTGTTTTTTGTCAGTTGACTAATTATTATTGACATTCTGTTTGTTTTTCCAATTTTAAAAAAACTTTCAATCAAATTTTATATGTTTAGTTTACCATTGCATTTTGATCTCATTGATTTTTCATAACTGTATGCATTTATTTGTGTAATTGTGGTGAGTTTGAATTTTTTATTCATTTATTTTTTTTCGCTCTGTTCAGATTTCGCTTTTTGAATCGCAACAATGCAACCATTGAGAAAGTGAATTTTGTTTTTTTTTTAATTATTATGAGCGTGTGTATTTTGGGATATTCATTGATTTTCCTAATGGATTATCTAAATAAGGTTAAATATTTTTCTTTTACCTGTGTAAAATACTACTTCACAATTTATTCAAAGTATGTTATTTATGAAGAAAATCGATAACAAGTGTATATGTCTAACTTAAATAAAACAGAACTTCTCTGACAAACAATCAACCTTTCAATCACAAACATTGACACAAAGAATCAATTTAACGATTGTTTAGGTATCTTTGTAAAAATTATGACATATGAAAAAACTAAACATGTTCATAGTGAAACAGTTATTTTCATTCGATATGAGATGGTGCTTAGACAGTATTTAAAACTGACAGTTAATGGAGACGTTATTTTTGGAATTGTTAAAATGAGTTCAAACTAGAAAACTAAACTTTGATCTCAGATTTTTCTACTAATCAGACTCAAATTTAGTAAAATGTTAATGCTTGTATAGATTATCATGGATTAAATTAAACCAAACTAAAGCAATCAACTATCGCTGTTGTGTTTTCCAGTCGGATTCAGTTAATATATATTATCTTTTCTTACTGCATACTAAACACACAATACAAATGAAAAGACTGAAATATGTATGAAGGTACAATTATTAAAATGAATTGTAATATGCAGAAACCATAGGTATAAATGCAGTTATTCTTCTGAACCAGATAAGAAAATATAAAATGCCAACTTTAACTGGTGCATAATCAACTTCCTCCAAGAGAAAGCATGGTTCATAATCTCTAACCTCACATTTGACCTTAAGATATCATTTGAATACAGGTGTATGATATATCTAGATCCACCTAGCCATCAACTGCAACGTGTCAAAGTGTATTTCACTATGGAGTTTGTAGCTTCACCATGTGGCAAAATCAATCAATTCATACTGTGCAATCTTTTCATTGAATTCAGTTTAGAATATAATGAATACAAATAATTATTCAGATACACGTGGTTAAAATCTTTGAAATTTCTGTTTATTAGTTTTCAGACGTTAATTCTCCGAGTTGATGCATCAAAGTAAATATACAGCACAAATATTATAACTGATTCAGCTAAGAACAGGTTAGTGATTGAAATACTTGGACGTTAAAATGTACAATTCGAATTGATGACTTAAAATATGGAGAGAAGAATTTCGGAACCTTGACACTGGACTCATTATGGCTGATTGATTTAGTGTCCACAATATCTAACTGAGGAATTATACCTTTTTTTTTCAATTGAACTTATTCTAAGAATGGACATTTAAACAAGTGTAATTCATACAAAAGTCTATTAATTTTTCTTAATTCTATTTTAATTTACATTTGATAAACAAACTAAACCAATTAGGATTTTCGAGAAACGCAAGTGTTATAGTGATGACTGGTGAAATAAAGACAGTTTTCATTTTAGTTTATGTGTACTATTAGCGTTTGTTGATAGGGTTGACAAGCGGACACCTAATTCTACTCTATTACCCAGTGGTATAACCCGAGAAAGGGTGTGGGTAGAGTTCGTTTATACTGTGATAAACTTAAATAAAAATTAACCTCCTGATTAGTTAACAGTAGTATAAAAATGTAAGTTTCATAAGATCAGCATAGAGTGCTGGCTATTGAAGAAAGTATTTTGCAATAGAGATATCTATAAAGTAATTTAAATATCATTAAAATCACAAATTACCGTTTAAAAAACGTGGAACTACTCTTAGTAAATGATATTCAAGGTACGCTGTATGATGAAGCCAATTATACAGGTGGTCTAGGCTTGACCAGAAGGACAAATGTAAAATTGTCCATGCTTTATATACACTTTATACAATTTGCCAACTACCGCTTCTTAGTCATTCTTGGTCTTATCAATCGCGCAACGGTTTGAATAAACATGTTTATACTGTAAGCACTTCTATATGAATCTGAAAATCATGGAACTGAGTTCACATGTAATTTCACTCAACAATGTAAAAAGATTCTCAAACCGTACGGTGGTTTATGTATTTGTGCATACTCAATTATAGTGAGTTCTTAGTAGTATAAAACCTGGGACATTTTCGATTGGCTTAATAATATCATTGTTTATTTGTATTGGTTACATGTTTGTTTGGGAAGATCGACTTAAGTACAGATGTATTAGGCGTTCAAACAGAGTAAAACATATCTTTTTGATTTTCACTATATCCCATTGATTGTAGTTCTGGGTAAAAGTTAACTTAGTTTCCTTAAATTTAATGATGAAATTTATTGAAGAATTAAGCTAACATGAAAACGGATAGGCTTTTTATTTAACCCTGAAGTTAAATTTTGAGTATATGACAATCAATACTAAAGCAAAAATAGTGATTGATTTAACTGTGGCGATGTATTTCTAATCTTTGTATATCGCCGTACTGACGACCGTTACTATAAAATGAGAGTCGTTGTCATAACTCCTTTATTATTCACAATTTATCATTATAGATACAGTAATAGGATTTATTACAAATATAAAATAGTCGATACTGTTATAGAATTATTTTACCGACTAATCATTAAAGCTAGTAAAATGAGTATGTGCGTAGGTGGTAAGCAATGCCTAAGCATATATACGCATAGAACAAAAAAGAAAACTAGAAAGAATACTTACATCAGAACACTTAATAGAAAAGCTCAACAAAGATAAAAGTACAAAATCTAAAGGAGACGCTACATAAATGTCCAACGTATCTACAATCATACTTATTACTCCATATAAATAATAATATAGCATACTGAGAAACAAATTGTCTCTGACAGTAACCACATTTGAACTGGAACCGAAACTAGTGATAGAGCGAATACTGGAGCTCATTGTTTAAAACATGATCACTGAACAAATTATTGCTTTAATATCCACTATAAAACAAATATAACCGATCACACTATTTTTAAGTTATTGATATTACCAGGTGGTTCGTTTATGGAGTGCAATAGATGATGTGAAAAATTGTTCGTTAATGTGTGTACGTGTTATGAGGGGTGATTCGACCAGAAGTTAACAAACTTTCGAAGCTATTTTCCCAAGGGTTTATTGTTTATAACGATTACAAATTTATTAAGTATTACCTTATTTCATTAATTTCATTCGAACCGTAAATTAATGCTATATCATTCACCATTCATAAACTAGAACCGATTATTCGCGTACCCATTGCTTCGCTTTTGCCATCACTAATGTCGTTGTTTTTTTTTCGGTTAATATTATTACTCGATTGGTCTGCTGTAAAGCCTGAGTTTGGATTTAACTAAATGGATATCCAAAGCAATTATAACAATCTTGAACTGATGGCCATTAGTCTAGTTCTCTACGTTCAGGGCAGCTAATAGAGGGCCGACTTTCAAGCACTGAGCGGTAGTTCTCGTTACCTTGTATTTTTTACTCTAAAGGTCGTCTATGCTTATTAGTTACTGTAAGGATTTAACAATGTGAGCTAGTATAAATAATTAATTTAAACTACGATTTTTTAATGTTATTCGAAGCATTATAGAAGATATTGAACACATTGTCAGAATCACTTTTTCAAAATGACGATAACATCATATAAGGCTTAAATATTAATTTTATAATATGAAAAATAACTTTCAATCAATCATCCTGAGATTAACTCTAAAGTTATTGAAAACTGTTGATATCAGTTCATAGTATAACTTACCATTAAGCTATGCCACAGTCACTAAAATTCCATACTCATAAAAAAAGCCGTTTATTGACCAGATCTGGAGTTAGGCAATTCACTCATACTGTTCAATAGTAATCACAACAGATCACAAAAATACGTGGCTCAAAATCTGCATAACTGGGCTTTGATTGGTTGAACAAATGGTATCATGCACACTCAGAAATCTGAAGTTTTTCTGTTCACTTGTATGAGTGTTGATGAATATTTTCTACTGGGAATTCATGAAGTTGAATTAAATCAACCATTTGCCCGATCTTTTGTCATTTGCGACAAGTACATAAATTCCACCAGAACAAATATAAGTTAATAGTGTTTACTTACAATTTAAAAACATTCTGTTGTTACATTTCATTTTTATTATTAAAAAATAAAATAAAATAACCAACTCAAGTACTTGTTTATTCCTTTTTATTTATTCATGTAAATCGATGATACCAACCTTGTTGTTTATTACCAGCTAAATGGCTTGTATAAATAATATTATTTTCAGTTAAAGTAAATACCCTTTTTAATATATTCAGTAGCATTGTTTCAATATCATACTGTAGCCATCTTGGTGTATAACCATCACGTGATGAACGAGCTATACTGATTATATTAGGTGGATAAGGAATTGATAATAAAACTTGTGTAAATTGTACCATTAATTTCAATAAATCATTTGATGTTGGTAGAAATTCTTCAACTAATGATGCATTAGGCATATTATGTCCCAAGCATAAATGTATTTCTGGCATATATTGATAAGTTACTAATGAACTGGTAAAACAAACTCCAACACGTGTTAATGCATTGAACTGATTGTATGTAATTGAACTGTTCATAAATAATTCATTTAATCTTTGTAAGTTTAATGTATAATTATGACAAAATATATCGGTAATTTGAAGATTTTTGTTAAGATTCTTTAACATTATAGTCAATTCATCATTTTGAACTGTTGATCTACGATGATTTCCAGAATATACATCAAAGTAAACATATTCAAGTAACCAACGGAAAATTTGATCAATTTCTGTTTCATTCACATAATATACTGGACAAAAAGTAGATGAAATAATTAAATTTATTGTTTTAATAAAATCATAACTTAATCCAGATTTTAAAAGGCTACGTGTAACAAGATGTACACCGAAAAAATCTTCATCAATATCAAGTATTAATGGTAAATGATAATCTGTTTGCTTGTTTTGATGCGAAAATGTTATGAATGAAGAATTTATTCTTGATTTCAAATTAGTTGCATTCAAAAGCTTTTTTATTGACCAATTTTTCGAATGACGTAATATATTTGCAGCTGTAAGTGAATTCAATTCAGCATAATGATATATCCATGATTTCGGACATTTATCTGATGATAATATAGAATCATTTAAACTATTGTCTTGTTTTCGTGTTTTACAATTTTCTTCTACAAATGTATCATTTATATCAAGGCACATACAAAGTTGTTTTGTACCATTAATTGTTGTTATACCTAAACTGGATGTATAAGCATAACTGGCGTTAAATGTCCAATATGGATAAATAATATACACACTCTGAATAAGATTAGTTATAATTGCACTCTAAAATTGAAAAATATAAAGCCATTCTTAAGAAATGTGCATAATTTGCTATTCAAAGTTATATGGAAATTTAATTTATGATTAATATTCTGTGACCAAACACTAAACTATTCGTAAACAAATCTGATTTAATTTATCTGTAACATTTTTTGACTTTAATTTCAAGCACACCAAACTATATATTTATATAAGTTAGTTCAAGCTGCGTACTATATTAGCACAGAGAGAGGAAAATGTCATTTCAGATCCCATAGTAGCAGAGGTAGTAGAAGTGTTAGCAGTAATCGAAAAGATTAGGGGTTAGAAATATGATTCGAGAAGTATAATCCAGTAGAATAAATTTAAGATGTCAAAAGAAAAGGTCATTAGGGATCCCAAAGTTCAGATTTCGAAAGGGAACAATAAATGGATGCACCTGACCGGAGCTGGTTGAGCTTGCCTATCGTGATTAACCGATCAAACCAGATTGGCTGGAACACATATTGTTGGGATAGCCAATCGAGAAGCCACCCACACACATAATCGATTGATGAACTTATCGATTAAATGCTTAAATATGTCAAGGACAGTCGATTGATGAACTATTTTATTAATGTTCATGATGAACTGTTTGATTAATGTTCAAGTATTTTAACGACAATATCGATTATATATATTATTGTATAAATACGCATGTTTTATTGTATATTTTTGATTCTGTTAATAAGTGTTTTCCAACGTCTTCCATCTTCTTATTTTTTTTTGAACGGTGGGAGTCGAACGTTCGGTGTTGTCATTTGTACAGTGGTTCGGCGTTACTCAAGTAGAGAACATAAAACATATCCTTTTAGGTCCCACCATACCAGGCAGGTCTATTGTAGAACGGTAAGTCCAAAGGCAGCAACTCAAGGTCTGAGGACGAAGTTGAACTACTGATTAAAGAGGGGTGTGACAACAGTAACGTGGTTCCCTTTAACAACTAGCATCTGAAGAGATGCTTCCTTCTCTCAAGGAAGGAATGGGTTGGAAAAGGTCAACCCTAAAATATCACACCTCATCTAACTCCACGTATTTCCGTCTCAGGCGGTAAGGCTACTTGAGGAGCGGAACGAACACTTCAAAAACCTCCAATAAAACAGCCGTACGCAACTGGTTTTGGCCGTGCGGTTACTTGTCAGGTGTCTAAGACAAGCACTAATCTGATTTCCTTGTTAGATTCCTTAAGAAACACCCTCCCACGGCATGGGCAACCAGAAAGTAGCATTCGCCCTCATACCCCTGACAGCACACGAGATAATGTTGTTAGACTTTAACTGTTATACTCGTCTCTAGGTATGCTTATAACTATTACGGGTTCACCTTAGTCGAATAACGAAAACAATGAACCAGCCTCCAGGTAGGCTACTGTGATCCGATTGTCCCAATTGTACCAGCAAGAAGTCTTGATATAGCGTAGAAATTTTATTCTACAAACACAATGAATCCAAGCACACAAATCGCGTTCATTTATACGCCATAGAGACGTCCTTGGGAGATTCACAAAATAGCACACTAAAATGACACGGTAACCAATCACAGCCAAGGATTTTACTGGTGGGAAATGTGATCTCAAGGTCAACTGATCGATCCATGAAATAAATCCAAAATGAGGATATTTATCAAGCGATCTAACATCCCTAACAATAACAATTAAGATAAACATATCGATATACGAGAGACTGATTATTCATCATCAGCATCCTTATTGAACAGGGATTTCACGATTAATCTACAGTTAAATTTCAACTGATGCACGAACACTGACTAAAATAATTTACACCAGACTGGTCATTTTTTAGATAAAGGAAATACCGCCATCAAATACTTTCGAAATCCACCTAATTACTCCATAACTTGGAGTTTATTGTTGTACTGTTTTAACAGATTTCCGATATAGACCTGTGTATCACTGATAAGTGATATCTTTATAACAACCAAGAAGCAATACGATGTGCACCTATCAACAAAAATAATCTATGATAAGGATAGTCTTGAATCAACATTGAATTCTAGAAACTGACTTATTTTCTAGTCGCTAATATGATCACTTTATTTATCACAAGAATGTAAGAAGGCAAATGAAACATTGGATTAATTACATTCTGGAACACGCATTATATATATATATATATATATATATATATATATATATATATATATATATATATATATATATATATATATATATGGAATGGAATTTGTTTTTTTGCTATTTTTTAAATAGAAATGTGTTAAGTTGCTCTTACTACATAACTTGTTTGCAATGTAGGTGAAAATCCTAACTCACCACCCATAAGAAGTACAATATTGATATACTTTAACTACATTTCCCTTCTTGCACTTAAATAAATGAATGGACACATACCGATTTCATAGCTGAATTTCTCCAGTGAACGTATTTCATTTTCGTTGGCTTCAGTTGGTTATCTTTTTTATGTGATTGCAAATTGGCTATTTTTTGAACAAGTGACATTTATTACTTCAGTAAAATGTATAGCGACGTCATTTTCACATTTAACAATGTACAATTTATGCGTCACCTTGTGCTAAGCTGCGATTGGTTAGTGAGTGAAGACGGACACATACATCTTCACCAAATGTTCAAGACTGTCTATATCAGCATTAGTTTCTGTCTAAAATCTAGTGTTAAGTATTATCAATGTGCGTGTGTTTTATCCAACCTATTTGATCAAAATACTTTCCACTCTCTCGTATCATATGAAAGAAAAATCATAAAAGATGTCTTGGTAATCAGATCATACTTCAAAATGAAATGTAACTGTTTAGAGTGCGGAGCTATTCAGACTAAAATCGTACTAAGGTGGGTGTTTCTATGTTAAACATCAAATCCTAATTGGAATAGTTCGTTGAAAAAATATTTTTTCAAACTAACATAAAATTGGTAAAATCGACCAACATTATACAATTCGAGTATTCTGTTATATCCACGAAGAACTTATGCTATTTCCTGTTCAGATAGAAAACTTGTTTATCATTGAGGGATATCAAAGCACGAAAGTTATGGTTTAGAAACGCTTATAATGTTACTGATTTCTCTTAATCAGATGGTTATTGCCAAGCTTTTATTATTGTTAAGTAATAAATTAGTGTAACATCAAAAATCTTGTGACTAGTGGCATTTGTCAGAAGAAGGAACCCTTAAATTTTCATCAAGTGTACGGACTCGTATTCATAGAAACTGCAATTTAAAAAATTCATGAGACGGTTATCAAAGAAAATTATGATTCAATAACACCATCATGGCATAAATGCCAACAGAGATTAACAGTTTGAGGAAGTGAACATAAATGAAACAAAAATATGGAGATTTACCAATAAAACTCCGCCTGTAGACCCTTCGGGGCTACTGCCGGTCCCAAGCCCGGATAAAGGAGTAGGGGTTGGACATGGGGTTGGCGCCCTCATCCAACTTGCCAAAAAAACGCTAACCAGAAAAAAATAATTCAAACTATTTTAACTCTGACCTGAGAGTTGGAAGAAGAATTATGACGTCGTGTGATGAAAACCGAGTTCCTTTGGAAGTCACGAGGCTGATGTCTCTTCTGGCAACCATAGCAACCATTCTTTTAGGTACATGGAACGTTCGTACATTGTGGGAAACTGGAAGATTATTTCAAGCTGCGGCGGAAATGAAAAGATACAACCTCGAGGTGCTCGGCATCAGTGAAACGCATTGGACACAGGCAAGACAACTGAGACTAGCTTCAGGGGAACTGCTGTTATACTCTGGTCATGAAGAGGAAAACGCTTCACATACACAAGGAGTTGCACTGATACTGTCCAAACAAGCACAACATGCACTGATAGGATGGGAATCTCATGGACCTAGGATCATTAGAGCATCCTTGAAAACAAAGAAAGAGGACATTACAATGAACGTCATCCAATGTTATGCACCTACCAATGACTACAATGACGACGTTAAAGATCAATTCTACGAAAGGCTGCAGTTAGTCGTCGACAGATACTCACCAAAGGATTCGACCATTCTGATGGGAGACCTAAATGGCAACGTTGGCATGGAAAACACTGGATATGAAGACATCAAGGAAACAACATGGACTGGGAGAAAGGAACGAAAACGGTGAGAGATTTGCAGACCTATGTGCCTTCAACAAACTGGTCATCGGTGGCACCATATTCCCACACAAACGCATACACAAAGCCACATGGATTTCAACGGACCACACTACTCAGAACCCAATTGACCACATCTGTATCAACAAAAAGTTCAGAAGGACTATGGAGGATGTGAGAACCAAAAAGAGGAGCTGATATAGCCTGAGATCAACACTTGCTGGTCGCTGAAATAAAACTGAAACTCAAGAAACACTGGATAACGGGGCAAACAACATCACACAAGTTTAATACAGCCTTACTTCGGGATACCGTAAAACTCAACGAATTCAAGATGGCCCTCAGAAATAAGTTCCAGGCCTTGCACGATGTACTCAATGGAGAGGAAACAACATTGGAGAACAACTGGAAAGGGATCAAGGGGGCAATCATTTCAACATGTCACGAGGTTCTAGGACATAGGAAGTACCATCACAGGGAATGCATCACTGTTGGTACTCTTAAAAATATTGAACAAAGGAGGAACAAGAGGGCAGCAATCAATGTCAGCCGAACAAGAGCAGAGAAAGTTACCGCACAAGCTGAATACACAGCAGAAAACAGGGAAGTGAAGAAGAGCATCAGAGCTGACAAACGAAAATATGTGGTAGATCTAGCAGTGACGGCGGAAAAGGCTGCAAGAGACGGAAACTTGAGACAATTGTACGAAACAACAAAGAAACTGCATGGAAACTATCGTAAACCAGAACAACCAGTGAAAAGCAAGGAAGGCAAAGTAATCAGCAACACTGAAGAACAGCGAAACAGGTGGGTAGAGCACTTTAAGGAACTCTTGAATCCATTGACCATACTGAAATCACCCAACATTGAAGCACCGTTTACGGACCTCCTGATAAATATTTGCCTAGCATCAAAAAATCAGGAGCGGCAAAGATGCGGGACTAGACAACATTCCAGCAGAGGCAATAAAAGCAGATGTGGAAGCAACTGCAAACATACTTCACATCCTCTTCAAGAAGATTTGGGATGAGGAACAAGTACCATCGGATTGGAAAGAAGAATACCTGTTCAAAATACCAAAGAAAGGCGATCTCAGCAAGTGTGTGAATTACAGAAACATCGCTCTTCTCTCAATACCATGCAAAGTCTTCAACAGGGTATTGTTAAACAGAATGAAGGACTTCACAGACGCCCAACTTCGAGATCAACAGGCTGGATTTCTTAAGGATCGATCGTGTACTGACCAAATTGCTACATTACGGATCATTGTGGAACAATCAATTGAATGGAACTCACCACTCTACATCAACTTCATTAAAGCTTTTTATAGCGTGGACAGGAAAACACTATGGAGGCTTCTTCCACAATGCGGCATGCCTGAGAAGATAGTCAACATCATACGGAATTCTTATGATGGATTCAACTGCAAAATCGTGCACAGAGGACAGCTCACAGACTTATTCGAGGTGAAGACCGGTGCCAATCAAGGTTGCTTACTCTCACCCTTTCTCTTTCTCCTGGGGATCGACTGGATTATGAAGACATCAACATCTGGAGGGAAGCACGGTGTCCAATGGACAGCTAGGATGCAGCTGAACGATCTAGACTTTGCAGATGGTCCGGCTCTTCTATCGCACACTCAACAACAAATGCAAGAGAAGACGACCAGTGTAGCGGCAGCCTCAACAGCAGCAGGTCTCAACATACATAAAGGGAAAAGCAAGATTCTCCGATACAACACGACATGCATAACATCCAGAAGACTCAAACGTTTATTAACAGTTGTCTACGCAAAATAATACGGATCCACTGGCCAGACACCGTCAGCAAAAATTTACTGTGGTAAAGAACAAACCAGATTCCGGTGGAGGAGAAAACAGAAAGAAGTGGTGGAAGTGGATAGGACACACACTGCGGAAAGCACCCAACTGCGTCACAAGACAAGTCCTCACATGGAACCCTCAAGGTAAAAGGAAAAGAGGAAGGCCAATGAACACATTACATCGAGAAATGGAGACACACATGAGAAAAATGAACAAAAGTTGGACAGAACTGGAAAGTGAAGCCCAGGACAGAGTTGGATGGAGAAAAATGGTGGACGGCCTACGCTGCATTGAGGGTAACAGTAAGTAAGTAAGTAAGTAAATTCTTCGTCGAACACATTTTAGTTACTAATACATAGAAATAAGACATTTGCTATTTACATCTACTGTGTATCAATGGTTCATCATTAATTTGTTGTCAGAATTCAACTGTATGGTTTCGTTTAAATGCTGAGTCATTCATTGTAATACCGCCATTGGAAACGTCGAAGCTCTCGACGGCTGTTTCATCTTAGTGTATGGCTCATCAGCAGTGCGCATCCACGACCTCGCACTCTGGACTCGAACCCAGGACCTTCTGTCTTGCGCGCGAATTCCAAGCCTCCAGACCAATGAGCCTGTATCCAACGGTGTTAATGTCTAATTTCCATCAATCCAAGGTATTGCACATCTTCACTCAGTGTTTTTGCTAGGTAATTGCCCACACTTGATGAGGGTTGAACTCCACTGGTCATGCCTTCTCTTTACGAGGACGAAATGGCCGTCCCATGCTTTCCGATTTTCAAAGGTGGTTTAACAATAATGGATTCTTTTTCTTCATTAAAATTTAACAATCTTCTTAACTTCATAATGAAAGTACTATCATTGTTATTCAGTAAAAAATCAAAAAATAAACTGTAAACTGCAGAATTAAGTTATGGTTTAAGCTTCATTCTGTTCTGAGAAGCAACCTACGATACACTATGTGGTTAGTTGAAATAATAATTTCTCTAAACACAAACAATGTAATCTACAACCAGACATATTAAAGTTAGGCGAAGGTAATCAACCATGGAATGAATACTCGAAGAAAGAAACTTGTCGCCAATCGATAATCAAGGAACTCTAGCTTTAGATTTATCAAAACATGGAAGAGCTATACTTTACCATTATTCATTGATAAACAATGTATGCTAATTTCATCCCTTTTCAACAATATTCTAACATCGAATTCTCTGGTATATATATATATATATATATATATATATATATATATATATATATATATATATATATATATATGAATATATGAATATATATATATATGAATATTTACATGAAAATTTAAGAGTATTATGTGCAGCTAAATAATCTGTTTGACTGTGATTAATCAATCATGAATTACCTTGATGGGTTTAACATTTTCATATTAATATTAATGCCTATTAGAGAGTGAAACCTGATGACGATCTAATTCTTACTATATATAATGTGAATTTGTGTGTATTTAAATTCACTATCTAAGTAAAAAGCACATTACAATGTTTGTCTAGTTTGCCAATTTTTATTGTAAACATGATAAACTGACTTATTGTGTAATCAAATTACAATTGAAATATATTGAAAATAATAAAGATTTATTTGATTAATTCACTGGTAATATGGTCAGTTGGCGAACATTATCATAAGTATTTGGTTTTTATTTTAGGATCAGTTTTCTAACCCTATCGAGCGTAGGCAGTAACTATTGAATGCAACAGGTGAGGTTCCTCAAAATACTTAGATTGATCAGAGTTAGACATCAACACCGTTGGATGCCGGCTAAACAGTTTAGAGACTAAGCATTCTCGCGCAAGATCTAAGGTTGAGGGTTCCATCCCCTCAAACAGTAGGAGTAGTGGGTGCGCGCTGTTGATGAGTCACATTCTCACACGAAACGGCCGAAGGGTCCACTGCCGGTGTTTGACGAAGAATGTAGGTATTATAATCCACTTTTATACCGATAGATAATGTTTTACTATCCTGTTCTCAAATGTATATCAAATCATATTAACTTGTAACAAATTTAAAGTGATGAACACAAAAGTAAGGGAAAGCAAACTGTAAGAATTCGAATTGTCGAATAAAATATCTGTAGGCGACATTTTGACGAATTCATTCACGCTAAATGGAAACATTAAATAAGTATCGCTAACTAACGTCAGATCGGAAACGCAAGAATCTGTATGCATTATGTATACATCTTTCACTATTGTCCAACTGTTTTGTAGTGCATCTTACGGGACCTCGTTTAAAAATCATATGAAGCTCTTGTTTTCTTAACAGTAGGTATAAAGATGGTGTTGAGACATTAAAATATGGCATATTGTATGCAGCAATATGTCTAGCGATCACTCCTTGGATAAACTAATTAACCTTTTCTGCCTTAGTTACTATTCGTCCATCTTTTGAACTTGTTAATTATTCATTTATATCATCTCGGTTGTTTATTGAGCGCGTATGTGTATTGCTTACTTCGCTTATCTCATGTAGAACTTATTTTTGCCTCCCTATAAATACTACTTATTCATGCTCCATAGAATCCAGTTGACTCACTTGGCTTCTTCATTAACTTCATTTTGCCTGTACTCTCTGTATTCTCATGTCTGCCTGCCTGCCTCAAAGATCGCATGATATGAATTCATCCTAATGAATTTGTACTTAGATTCTTATTACTGCCATCGCATAAACACGGTTTGCCTAAGCATGATATACGGGAAAAGAATGGAAGATTTGTTTCATAGCATATTCAATCGTTTGTTGAAATTGGAGTCAGATCGTGGGCCATTAAAATGGTCTTTGAAATCCTCCAAAATAAGAAAAAGAAGGTAAGTTATAGAAGAAACTGTTGCGTTCATAGTTTCTATTTCTTTTTTTTGTGGTAAAATGGATTTCTTTCATTGTTTAAAAACACTGTTTTTAGGTTTTGACTAAAATAAACCATGGAGATTTTTATATTATTCTATTCAAAAACATCATAATTAGAATAACTATACTTTAAACATACTTGAATAAACTCATCATTGGCTTGCATTAATGTTTCCATTTCTTTAGTTGAATACGGAAAATGACCAATTGGAAATCCATCCACTAATTCTGGATAATCCAAATCACTGTGTGCATCAATATGAATCTGATCATCAAAAAACCAACAAGATTATTATTCTTTTCACTTAAAACAGTGAATAAAGTCAACACATACATCATCGTCTATGACAGAAATCATGATACACGTTTTCAGAGTAAATTATTTATTTCATCAATATAAGAGATTTATGTAAAGTGTTGAGTTTAGTAGTTTACATTCTGAAATAATCTTAATTAGATAACTATTAAAAATCATAATGTATGACGGTAAAAGCATATTTTTGGGACGTGCTTAGAACAGCTGCAATCAATATGTAATCCGCTTTTAAGCAATTACAAAACAGCCTTTATTAATGTACAGTGCATGAAAATGGAAATAATATTCCATAGTGTGAATCAATTTAATCTAATTAATATATCTAGTTATATCTTCTACAAGTTATCCCCACCGTTTAATGTAAATTAAAAAACAACGATTTATAAACTCGTCTCCTGCAACACCTATAAGAACGCCGATAGATATTTAAAGTGTACCCATTTTATTCTTGTTCAGGTTTAGATGTTTAGGCTAAAATAAATTAAGGGTTTAAGATTTAGGTTTTGTTCACGAATCGACATTATCTTGAGTGTAGGAATTCTTTGTAGCCTTATTAAGATACATGAGGTACTATTAGATTAGTTCATTCATAAAATGTACTGCTACTAGGTTAAGGCTGGTTTCTTGATTGGCTATTTAGAGTTGATCGTCAGGGTTAGTATCTATTTGTCTGTGATATATGCAATTTCCCACTGTTTTGAGCTGTTTACCATAGTATTTTTACTACTTCTTATACACCATATTTTAATTTCAGGTGACAACCTAAAAGTCGCGTTCCCGATGCTGATGTACTCGTCAATAAAGTATACGTTTACCATGCTGAACACATATTTTATCCCAATGGGTGAATAATCAATAGTGCTCATCCACGATCTCAAAGATAAAACCGAAATTCATTTGGTGTTGCTCAGAGCGCTTAACCTTTAGACATCTGGGTAGGAATCCAATACTTGATTTCCACACGTTAATATGAATTTGTGACTTTGATAACTGGATGCCAGTTAACGATTTTTCAAAGCCTCCTAGTAATTCAGTAGTTTAGTACAGAATTGTTGGACTATCGTTGACACATAGTTATTATATAATGAATGTCTAAATCAAGGAAGCTGAAGAGTGATCCTTGCTAATCAATAACACGCCAACAAGTAATTATGACTGGATTATCGGTTGGGATACTGACAGGAGAGTTATTTTCCAAATTTTTTCTATTAGCTATCCGATGAAATTCCAAATTTAATATCTGAATAACTATCCACCAAATTGTTGATTGTCTTAATCATAAATATTGAGTTTTGTAAACTATTCGGGAGACTAAGCGAAGCGTTTATCGTAACTTAAGATAAACAACTTTGTTTTTATTTCAAAAATAAATTAGACTTAAAGATATTTAACGGTCAGTTTCAATTTTTTTCTGGTTTAAGATAGGAAATGAATGCACTGTTAACCACGGTGACATCTAAGATAAGATGAAATTTCCCATTGTTGAATAGTAACCAGTGATATCTTGTATAGTTAGCGTTTTCTGGACAGATTGAACTGTATCGGTTATATTATAATTCTGCTAATAGTATAAACGACACAGTATTATATTCTCTTATTTTTAATGGCTGTTCGACCTGATCAGAATAAAATCTCAGACCTAGATTTCATAGTGATTGACACTTTATACTTAGGTGGATGTAAGATTTTGAGAAAACTTATAATTTTTTTTATTACTCGAACTTAATTTATCCATTGATTCGACTATCTCTAACGATTGCATACTAATTCCGACAGCAGATTTACATTTTTCCTGACTATTACATTTAACCATTGAAAAAAATTTATCAAATTATTTTCAATAATGAAGAGATGCCATTTGCATCATGACCATGAGAAAATAAAAATCAGAAACAAATATAGAAATATTTGAGACTGAATTTATTTTTCTTCTTGTAATTGATTGAAGCGAGAGATTTATCCAATTTTATTGATTTCATGAAATGTTTCAATGTAAATTGTCATGATCATCATCATCATCGTATGCATTAATATCATCTAAATAACTTAAGTTATCATTTGGCATTTTGTGCTGAGATTTTCAATTCATAATAAATGATTACATTAAAATTATCAACAGATTTTTAATAAACTATTAATTACACTCACCAAAACAGCTTTTTTATTACCGAAAGATTTAGCAGCAGTAAACCAATAAGGAATGACTGGTAAACATATAAAATGAAAATATCCCAACAAGTGGAAAATAAGTTTTGAAAAAATTAGAATAAGATCTGATAAAATCGAATTCATTAAAGATAAGTAGACTACTATCAACTTTTATATAATTTTTTATATTTTTATATTTTGTATACTTGGCTACTAGTAGAAAAGATGACTTATCTGTATGAACATTTATCCGAGCGTCGACGGTCTCATCTAGACTTAAATCCAGCACCATTTAATTCGGACACAAATACCTTATCGACTGGACCACTAAGTTCAGACAGATACTACGTAGTGTAGTGGACATGAATTTTATTGATAAGAGGCAAAATTAAGAACTACTTGACAGACATAACCTCGGTCACCATTCATTGATCAGTTAATTGTAAATGCATTCTCTATAGGAGGTTTGGCGCTCCCCGTAAAGCTCACTGATAGCGTCTTCAACTGTGAAAATGGATGACACGGTGATAAATCCTCTTGAAAGATGACTGATACACTTTGCTTTCAAGTGCCAAATAATATGAAAGCTAGGTACATAGTTTCCTGTCGATTACTTTCAACTACCATCCAAAATTTAACCGTACTGTGCACATTTCAAAGAATGAAGAGCTCATTAATAACAAGAAAACAAAGACTAGATAAAATTATCAGGTCAAAAGATATTTACCGCGTATTAAATTATTGCATGATCTTATGGTATAAAATTACAAAGTTCTTTAGAGTTATGAAATGTGTTCAGCAAAGTATGAAATGTTATGTAATGATGATTTTATTTGACATCAACTAAAATCAGAAATATATGTATATATCAAAATAACGGGAACTAAGCATTTTACATAAATTAGGCAAAGCTAGGATGAATTTGTAATTAACTGACTAGTCCTGAATGGAAAGAAAGACAAATAATAACTGCCACCACTGACTACAATCCTTAAATACTAAAGATGTTAATCAAACTTGATGGAAACACTTTTTTAGTGCCGAATTAACAATTTTATCTAGGCAACAAGCAAGCTGAATATTTCATCGCAACTAGGGTTCATGTTTGTCTACAGAAATTTAAATATAGTATTATGTTTGAAGTAATTGTAAATATCCCTGAAAAAACTTGCCAAATTTAATGGAAAGACTCAAGTCTCAAAAATGAGTGAACAGTGACACGTAAATTTATTAATTTTTATAACCACCAATAAAAAGACCATATGTTTATCATTCTATAGAACCTTCTGTGTAATCACATTTGTATATTCAATAACCGCTACTTATGTGTACACCATGTTAGATCTCAGTGTTTAAAAATGTCATTCTTTTTTTCGTTTTATTGGACGCAGTTTGTCATTGGTGTTGTAATAACCTTTAAAGCTACTCTGAAATACGTAGGCTAATTGGTTTGAATTACTTCTCATTAACTTTATTAGGTTTACATTTCTCATCACGATAATATGGACTGGAAGAAAGGAACGAAAACGGTGAGAGATTTGCAAACCTATGTGCCTTCAACAAACTGGTCATCGGTGGCACAATATTCCCGCACAAACGCATACACAAAGCCACATGGATTTCAACGGACCACACTACTCAGAACCCAATTGACCACATCTGTATCAACAAAAAGTTCAGAAGGACTATGGAGGATGTGAGAACCAAAAAGAGGAGCTGATATAGCCTGAGATCAACACTTGCTGGTCGCTGAAATAAAACTGAAACTCAAGAAACACTGGATAACGGGGCAAACAACATCACACAAGTTTAATACAGCCTTACTTCGGGATACCGTAAAACTCAACGAATTCAAGATGGCCCTCAGAAATAAGTTCCAGGCCTTGCACGATGTACTCAATGGAGAGGAAACAACATTGGAGAACAACTGGAAAGGGATCAAGGGGGCAATCATTTCAACATGTCACGAGGTTCTAGGACATAGGAAGTACCATCACAGGGAATGCATCACTGTTGGTACTCTTAAAAATATTGAACAAAGGAGGAACAAGAGGGCAGCAATCAATGTCAGCCGAACAAGAGCAGAGAAAGTTACCGCACAAGCTGAATACACAGCAGAAAACAGGGAAGTGAAGAAGAGCATCAGAGCTGACAAACGAAAATATGTGGTAGATCTAGCAGTGACGGCGGAAAAGGCTGCAAGAGACGGAAACTTGAGACAATTGTACGAAACAACAAAGAAACTGCATGGAAACTATCGTAAACCAGAACGACAAGTGAAAAGCAAGGAAGGCAAAGTAATCAGCAACACTGAAGAACAGCGAAACAGGTGGGTAGAGCACTTTAAGGAACTCTTGAATCCATTGACCATACTGAAATCACCCAACATTGAAGCACCGTTTACGGACCTCCTGATAAATATTTGCCTAGCATCAAAAAATCAGGAGCGGCAAAGATGCGGGACTAGACAACATTCCAGCAGAGGCAATAAAAGCAGATGTGGAAGCAACTGCAAACATACTTCACATCCTCTTCAAGAAGATTTGGGATGAGGAACAAGTACCATCGGATTGGAAAGAAGAATACCTGTTCAAAATACCAAAGAAAGGCGATCTCAGCAAGTGTGTGAATTACAGAAACATCGCTCTTCTTTCAATACCAGGCAAAGTCTTCAACAGGGTATTGTTAAACAGAATGAAGGACTTCACAGACGCCCAACTTCGAGATCAACAGGCTGGATTTCTTAAGGATCGATCGTGTACTGACCAAATTGCTACATTACGGATCATTGTGGAACAATCAATTGAATGGAACTCACCACTTTACATCAACTTCATTAAAGCTTTTTATAGCGTGGACAGGAAAACACTATGGAGGCTTCTTCCACAATGCGGCATGCCTGAGAAGATAGTCAACATCATACGGAATTCTTATGATGGATTCAACTGCAAAATCGTGCACAGAGGACAGCTCACAGACTTATTCGAGGTGAAGACCGGTGCCAATCAAGGTTGCTTACTCTCACCCTTTCTCTTTCTCCTGGAGATCGACTGGATTATGAAGACATCAACATCTGGAGGGAAGCACGGTGTCCAATGGACAGCTAGGATGCAGCTGAACGATCTAGACTTTGCAGATGGTCCGGCTCTTCTATCGCACACTCAACAACAAATGCAAGAGAAGACGACCAGTGTAGCGGCAGCCTCAACAGCAGCAGGTCTCAACATACATAAAGGGAAAAGCAAGATTCTCCGATACAACACGACATGCATAACATCCAGAAGACTCAAACGTTTATTAACAGTTGTCTACGCAAAATAATACGGATCCACTGGCCAGACACCGTCAGCAAAAATTTACTGTGGTAAAGAACAAACCAGATTCCGGTGGAGGAGAAAACAGAAAGAAGTGGTGGAAGTGGATAGGACACACACTGCGGAAAGCACCCAACTGCGTCACAAGACAAGTCCTCACATGGAACCCTCAAGGTAAAAGGAAAAGAGGAAGGCCAATGAACACATTACATCGAGAAATGGAGACACACATGAGAAAAATGAACAAAAGTTGGACAGAACTGGAAAGTGAAGCCCAGGACAGAGTTGGATGGAGAAAAGTGGTGAGCGGCCTATGCTCCATTAGGGGTAATAGGCGTAAGTAATTTATTAAGTATATTCTTGTGTCATAGATCTACATTAAATGTATATATATATATATATATATATATATATATATATATATATATATATATATATATATATATATATATATATATATATATATATAAATCTTACCTTCATGATGTTCTTCCACAATATAAACATATAAATTTGTTGGTTGATTTAATGATAAATTTGTCATCTTGTTAAGTTCACTATTATTTATTTGTAATGTCACTAAATCCCAATTGTTAAATAATATCCATGATAATAATAATGTATTTATTATACCAAAAATAATGACAATTTTATGAAATGTTATGTATATGAAAAAAGTCACTGTTCAAATTGAAATAGAATGAGAAAAGAAAAAGAAAAATTGATTTTAATTCTATTAATAAATATCAATATCTTTTGCATTACAAGATTGTAAAGATTTTCGAGTCCCTTTTAAAATCGTGAATCAATCAATGATAGCCCACCATTAGAAACGTAGAAGCATTGCAAGGCCGTTTTTTCCTGGTGTGGAACGCACCATCAGTGAGCGTGCGTCCACGACTCACGCTACTGTCAGGAATTGAACCCAAGACCTTCAGTTTCACGCGTGAACCCCTAACCTCTAGATCACTGAGCCGGCATTCAGCGGTGTAATTGTCTAACTTCAGTCGTTCCACTATCTTGCACAACCTCATCCACTGTCTTTGGTGAGCTTCGCCTAACACCCGAACAAGGTTGAACTCTACTGGTCACCACTTCTCACTAGAACTCTGAAAAACTTCCGAACAGAGCTAGTTATTAGTGAGCACATGATAATTTGCATTAGATGGTTGTGCAGACTGTTGATTTACTATTGAAATAATGAATCGATCAATTTCTTGGATGCGCACTGCTGATGAGTACCATACCAAGACGAAATGGTTTCACAGTGCTTCCTGATTTCTGATGGTGGTCTAACATTGATAGATTCATGATTTCAAAAAAACAAAAATATCAAAAAAGTACTTAAATGTCCTAGGATGAAAATGAAAATTTATGCAGAATTCAGTTGCAACTGAGTTTATAATAGTTGGTTATACTTTTACTGACATTTTTGGGAGAGGAGGTTAGAAACTTTCAAATATTAGCTTCGATTTTCAGCAGGAAAATTAACACTAAACTGTAGTTATGTCCTAGTATGGGACTTTGAGCATCCACCTGGTACGGATAGTATCCAGGATCTTTTAGTCTGGAGGCAGGTAGTTAGCACTTAGACTTCTGGACCGGTATACAGTGGCTTGCATTATACCACATCAGTCAATTGTGAAATCACCCAACAGAGGTCAGTTCGTAATAAAAACTATGAAACTGACAGATCTCTATTATCCTCTCATTTTTTCATTTGATAGACGTTTTAGAGTGTTTGAAAATAAGTTCCTTCAGGTTTGGTTCCCATTAGACAAATTAAAAGTTGGCTATTTAGCAAATTAATGTCAACTTTGCTATTGACGTCTCGTTGGTTTTACAGTTGGTTTCTACTTCAATCATGCAACTGTGATGATTAGAAGTTTTAGGATAAAAACCTTTTTGGCCAGTTGAAATTATTTTCTGGTTAGCAGCTTTCTAGCGAATTGCTGTTCTACGGGATGGGGTCCCTAACCCAATGCCCAACTCCTCTCCGTTATCCGGGCTTGGGACCGGCAGTAACCTTAGAAGGACCTCAAGCAGAGTTCTGTTTTATTAGTACATGTAGGTAATTTAGACAAATAATTTCAACGCGCTGAATTTTACTAAAAACTGTTCTTCTAATTATATGATTTGAGGTTTAGCTGCCAGTCCATATTATCTCTGAGTGTTTGATGACCTAAATGCTACTACTAATGAATTGGACATTAGAAAACTGTGTGTTACTAGTAAAAGTTCATAGAAACCTAAATTTCAGGAAGATACTGGAACGTATCAAGTAAAAAACGGTATTGGACAACTCGAAACAGACGGAATGTGTATACATTTTCATGCAGAATGATCAACAAAAACAATATAATACTCAAAGGTACAATTGGGTTTTCAAGGGCACGTGAAATGAATCTAACTACAATGCAGACACGTCAATTGTAGTTTACATGACGTTTCAACGTTCAGCAGTTCTAAAAAATGTTCCAGAATATATAAAACGAAATTACTACAAATGAATCAATCGAAAATGTCAGTGTTCGGACCTGATCTCATTTGAAAGTAATTAGATAAGTCTTTTGAATTAAAAAGAACAGTATTCAACTACTTTCAGAGCTCAGCAGTATCTTTCTAAATAATTTTTTAAACGGGATCCAATATCAATTCACGAAATGAATTATCGTATCGGTTTACCATTACTACTACTACTGTTGGGCACGAAAACTCAGGTGAGGACATTAATATATATATTTAAGCGAAATTACAGAGTTTTTAAGTATATGTTCAAAACCTACCCATGGATCATCATTTGCAAACTAATCCTTATTTGTTTCATATTTCAGTGTTCTTTCATTTAGACTGTTCAGACTTCAGTTCACTTTACGTTACCTACAAATCGCCTTCTGTTACATTCTTTTCTTCTCGATCTTTTCCTGTCAGATGTTTGATTTCCATTTGATATCATATACTATTTATGTGAACATAAGTAGCGTACACCACACTGCCACCACTACTACTACTACTACTACTACTACAGAATTTGTAAAACTTGTTGGACATTAAAGTGTTAATAAAATTTCACTAAATGTACAAAATTTATTAGTATTATGACAATGTTTCTATGTTCAAAGTGACAAATATTTTATTTTATGCACAGAAAATTGGAATACATTTCACATGACATTATTTCTGATAGGTCATAAATTACATTAGAAAACTTATTATTAGATAAGTAAAAAATTTTATTATGTTTCAATTCGTAGGCAGTTACTTTATTTTGTTTCATATAATTGATTTGTTTACTGAATGAAATTATTATTCGATTGTTAATTGTATATTTTATCGCTAATTTGTTTAAATTTCGTTAGGTTTAAACGAAAAATATCATGACTGAATAGATAATGTAAATAAAATGTTTACAGTTATCTTTCTTTCAATTACTTCTTTTTATGGGGGGGGGACAAGTGAAGTGTAATTATAGTTGAAATGTAAAGTCTGATTGATAAAGCATAAAATTACTGACCCTATTACTGTTAGTTCAGATTTTAGCATGATCAAGGATTATTTTAACGCTTTTTTAATAAATCTGTGCATAAACTTAAAAATCATTCTTTCATGATTCATACAGATTGTCAAAGTAGACTAATAGACTTTTCAATACACTGATAATAATGATATTAATTTTTGGTGTTATTTTCTCTAATCTAGTTAGTCTAATGGCTTAATTTTCATTTTGTTGTTCGAAAAGAAGTAAGCTATTCGAATTTTTCCACAAACAATCGAATAGTTTGTTCTGTTGATCTGGAATTCGATTAGCTATTGTACATAACTGTATAAACATTGGTTTTAGTTTGTTTTGATAGGCTCGAAAACTGGGTAGATTTCGATGAGTCTGTTCATTGATGCATGACTAGGATACCACGTTTCTAAGAGTCTAGTATTTCGATGTTGTGGGGTATTCATGTAAATTCAGACGAAGAGGATAACCACTTTATTTTCCATAGTGTTTGTAAATTATCTTGTACATGATATTTGGTTTGTCTTTGTTTATTCTTATACCCTTTGAAAAGCATAATATTGATTTTAACTAGCTAGAAATATTCCTCGTTATTTCAAATGATAATAAATGGCATAACATTGTTCTATAAGTTATTGATAAAAATAGGCTCAAGTCCCACAAATAATAAGTTGCTTTATAAGCTAGCAAAAATGAACAAATTGAAATCGAGCACCGATCAACGTTCGTGAAACATTGGAAACCTAGAAGCACTGGACGGCCGTTTAGCCTTAGTTTCAAGACTTAACAGCGATATGTATCTTCGACCTTATGGGCGGTAATCGAACCCATCACCTTCGATCTCGCGTGTGAACGCTTAACCTTTGACCACTGAGCTGGCACTCAAAGGTGTTCGTGTTTAACCTGAACCAGTCCATGATACTGCGCAATTATTAGGTTGCAAACAGTGATATAATATTGATCGTTTCATGCTTTCAATAAAACTCAACAATTTTCACAATCCTACAGTGACAAAAATGAACACAGTTATGTATGCTGATCTTTAGATAGACTTGGATTTTAATCTTCAAATCATTTTCTGAAATTTCTTTTGGAAGAAAGTTCTTATTGAATATCACATCAAACAGGGTTGTAAGACGAATATTTTTCAGTCCCTTAAGGGAAACTGTAATACTAATCACTTTTCGGACTAAACAAGGGAGAAAAGTGTATACATTTATTAAAAGTAAACAACTTTGTCTTTCTCTTAGAAGTAAACCTGACTTGAATAGATTAGGCGAATAAGTTTTGTTGGTTTGAAATGGCTTGAAAATGATGACGGCGTTAACCCTAATAATATGTCTAATTAAGTTATAGTGGCAATTCTGTGTTATTTAATTACAGAAGATAGAATATTCTCACAACTTAACACATTCACCTATGCGCAATTTATATCACAGACTGGCCTTAATTAGAAAATCATTGGAAACCGAAAAGTATTACCCTAGTATAGAACTTCTTACTTACTTACTTACTTACGCCTGTTACCCCCAATGGAGCAAAGGCCGTCCACCAGTTTTCTCCAACCAACTCTGTCCTGGGCTTCCCTCTCCAGTTCTGTCCAATGTTTGTTCATTCCTCTCATATCTTTCTCTATTTCTCGGCGTAGTGTGTTCCTTGGCCTTCCTCTTTTCCTTTTGCCTTGAGGGTTCCATGTGAGGGCTTGTCTTGTGACGCAGTTGGGTGCTTTTCGTAGTGTATGTCCTATCCACTTCCACCGCTTCTTCCTGATTTCCTCCTCCACTGGAATCTGACTTGTTTTCGCCCACAGTTCGTTGTTGCTGATGGTATCTGGCCAACGAATACGAAGTATTTTGCGTAGACAGCTGTTAATAAACACTTGTATCTTCTGAATGATGGCTTTGGTAGTTCTCCATGTTTCCGCTCCATACAGTAGAACTGTCTTGACATTTGCATTGAAAATCCTGATTTTGGTTTTGTTTGAAAGTTGTTTGGAGTTCCAGATATTTTTCAACTGTAGAAATGCAGCCCTCACTTTGCCAATCCGCGTCCTCACATCTGCGTCCGATCCACCTTTCTTGTCGATGATGCTGCCAAGATATGTGAAGGTGTTAACGTCCTCCAAGGTATCTCCGTCAAGCGTGATTCGGTTGGTGCATGTTGTGTTGCATCGGAGAATTTTGCTTTTTCCTTTATGTATGTTGAGACCTGCTGCTGCAGAGGCTGCTGCTACACTGGTCGTCTTCTCTTGCATTTGTTGTTGAGTGTGCGATAGAAGAGCCAGGTCATCTGCGAAGTCCAGATCGTCCAGCTGCGTCCTAACTGTCCAGTTGATACCGTGCTTCCCTCCAGATGTCGACGTCTTCATAATCCAGTCGATGACCAGGAGAAAGAGAAAGGGTGAGAGTAAGCAACCTTGCCTCACACCGGTCTTTACCTCAAAAGAGTCTGTCAGCTGACCTCCGTGCACGATTTTGCAGTTGAATCCATCATAAGAATTCCGTATGATGTTGACTATTTTCTCAGGCACACCGTAGTGTCGAAGAAGCCTCCATAGTGTTTTCCTATCCACGCTATCAAATGCTTTCTCGTAGTCGATGAAGTTGATGTAGAGTGGTGAGTTCCATTCAATTGATTGTTCCACAATGATCCGTAATGTAGCAATTCGGTCAGTACATGATCGATCCTTACGAAATCCGGCCTGTTGATCTCGAAGTTGGGCGTCTGTGAAGTCCTTCATTCTGTTTAACAATACCCTGTTGAAGACTTTGCCTGGTATTGAAAGAAGAGTGATGCCTCTGTAGTTCTCACACTTGCTGAGATCGCCTTTCTTTGGTATTTTGAACAGGTATCCTTCTTTCCAATCTGATGGTACTTGTTCCTCATCCCAAATCTTCCTAAAGAGAATGTGAAATATTTTCGCAGTTGCTTCCACATCTGCTTTTATTGCCTCTGCTGGAATGTTGTCTTGTCCTGCTGCTTTGCCGCTCTTGATTTGTCTGATGGCTATACTGATCTCCTCAATCGTAGGTGCGCCAATATTAATTGGGAGGTCCTTGGATGCTGCTTCGATGTTGGGTGGGTTCAGTGGAGCTGGTCGATTCAGTAGTTCCTTAAAGTGCTCTACCCACCTATTTCGCTGTTCTTCAGTGTTGCTGATTACTTTGCCTTCCTTGCTTTTCACTGGTCGTTCTGGTTTACGATAGTTCCCGGCCAGTTTCTTTGTTGTTTCGTACAATTGTCTCATGTTTCCGTCTCTTGCAGCCTTTTCCGCCATCATTGCTAGATCTACCACATATTTTCGTTTGTCAGCTCTGATGCTCTTCTTCACTTCCCTGTTTGCTTCTGTATACTCGGCTTGCGCCTTAACTTTCTCTGCTCTTGTTCGGCTGACATTCACTGCTGCCTTCTTGTTCCTCCTTTCTTCAATTTTTGCAAGAGTATCAACAGAGATCCATTCCTTGTGATGGTGCTTCTTGCGACCAAGGACCTCCTGACATGTTGAAGTGATTGCCTCCTTAATCCCTTTCCAATTGTTCTCCAATGTTGCTTCCTCTCCATTGAGTAGATCCTGAAAGGCCTGAAACCTATTGGTGAGGGCTATCTTGAATTCGTTGAGTTTTACGGTATCCCGAAGAAAGGCCGTATTAAACTTTTGTGATGTTGTCTGCCCCGTTGTCCAGTGCTTCTTTAGCTTCAGTCTCATTTTGGCGATCAGCAAGTGGTGATCTGAGGCTACATCAGCTCCTCTCTTGGTTCTCACATCCTCCATAGTCCTTCTGAACGTTTTGTTGATACAGATATGACCAATCTAGTTTTGAGTAGTGTGATCAGGTGAAATCCATGTGGCTTTGTGTATGCGTTTGTGCGGGAATATTGTGCCACCGATGACCAGTTTGTTGAAGGCACATAGGTCTGCAAATCTCTCACCGTTTTCGTTCCTTTCTTCCAGTCCATGTCGTCCCATGATGTCTTCATATCCAGTGTTGTCCATGACAACCTTGGCATTCAGGTCTCCCATAAGAATCGTCAAATCCTTTGGTGAACATTTATCGACGATTGACTGCAGCCTTTCGTAGAATTGATCTTTAACGTCGTCATTGTAGTCATTGGTAGGTGCATAACATTGGATGACGTTCATTGTAATGTCCTCTTTCTTCGTTTTGAAGGATGCTTTAATGATCCTGGGTCCATGAGATTCCCATCCTATCAGTGCATGTTGTGCATGTTTGGACAGCATCAGTGCAACTCCTTGTGTATGTGAAGCGTTTTCCTCTTCATGACCAGAGTATAACAGCAGTTCCCCTGAAGCTAGTCTCAGTTGTCCTACTTGTGTCCAATGCGTTTCACTGATGCCGAGCACCTCGAGGTTGTATCGTTTCATTTCTGCCGCAACTTGAAATAGTCTTCCAGTCTCCCACAATGTACGAACGTTCCATGTACCTAAAAAAATGGTTGCTCTGGTTGTCAGAAGAGGCATCAGCCCCGTGACTTCCGAGGGAACTCGGCTTTCATCACGAGACGTCATAATTCTTCTTCCAACTCCCAGGGCAGAGTTAAAATGGTTTGAATTATTTTTTCTGGTTAGCGTTTTTTTGGCAAGTGAGATTTCAACGGAATGGGGTCGCCAACCCCATGTCCAACCCTCCTCCTTTATCCGGGCTTGGGACCGGCAGTAGCCCCTAAGGTTCTACTGGCGGAGTTATAGAACTTATGAGAGACCCATATTCAAGGTTTAAGTCAAGAATATAATTATGACCGCGAGGCCACCTGGCAAATAATGCCTAGTATTTAGACTACTAATGAGGTGTTTAACTATCAACTATATTTGAAAAATGGCGAAACCATCATTCAAACCATTTCTTCTTGTTCTTACGCCTATTACCCCTAATGGAGCATAGGCCGCTCACCACTTTTCTCCATCCAACTCTGTCCTGGGCTTCACTTTCCAGTTCTGTCCAACTTTTGTTCATTTTTCTCATGTGTGTCTCCATTTCTCGATGTAATGTGTTCATTGGCCTTCCTCTTTTCCTTTTACCTTGAGGGTTCCATGTGAGGACTTGTCTTGTGACGCAGTTGGGTGCTTTCCGCAGTGTGTGTCCTATCCACTTCCACCACTTCTTTCTGTTTTCTCCTCCACCGGAATCTGGTTTGTTCTTTACCACAGTAAATTTTTGCTGACGGTGTCTGGCCAGTGGATCCGTATTATTTTGCGTAGACAACTGTTAATAAACGTTTGAATCTTCTGCATGATATCTTCGGTATATTTTCAAGTCTCCACCTCATATAGTAGAACTGTCTTGACGACTGTATTGAAAATCCTGATTTTAGCTTTCGTTGATAGTTTTCTCAAGTTCTGGATGTTCTTCAATTGTAGAGATTCAGCCCTTGCTTTATCAATCCGCGCCGTCACATCTTCACCACATCCACCTTACTCCTCAATGATATATGTATATATATATATATATATATATATATATATATATATATATATATATATATTTATAGATACGTAAGTTATTGTTTAACTTGGAAATAATTTTCATTATAGACCATCAACTTTTGAAGGATTACTTTAAAGGCAAGAAATCAATGAAAAGTTAATTTTTTCTTTCTTATGTTTCCTTAGCAGTTCATAAGAAAAACTTCATGTGAAATTTAAATCGAAAATATTCAGGCTGCATTATGAGAGTGAAATATTCAGATCATTTAGTCAGAAATCTGTGACTATTTCATGATACTAATTTCAGTCACTATATAATGATAATCATCTTTCGAATATAAACATTCGCATCCAAATAACTGTTGCATATTTGCTAGATGCTGGATTCACGACAGATTTTTAGTAGGGTGCTCTAGATGATGGAATCAACTATGTTTTAATTAAAACAGCTGTTAAGTCCCATTTAGCTGTAACTGGTTTTCTATGGACTGCTAAATAATCGGTACAATGAAATATTTGATTAATATAATAGAAAATGAAGACCGTGAATCAATAAAAATTCAATATTTTCCTTGTGCATTCATTACTTAAAGAGCGTTGAAATAAACCTTAATTGATATAGTATCATTCATTGATTTTAATTACTCAGATACGAGGTACTGACGACAAGGACAAAGATTAATAATGATTGGATGGATGTCTGTTACACGATCCATTTTCCTTCTAAACGCCAATGTCGGTCACAAGTAAAATAATTAATATGAGTCATAAAGGTGATAATAATAATAATAATAAAATCTACTTACACGCTTTTTTGATTTTACAGTGCATTTTAAATTTTGTTTTAACGGTGAACTATTATTCCAGTGTAAACAATGTTACAATGATAATATGCAGTTGAATTAATTTAATTCAACCAATATATATATATATAAACAAGTCTAGTTAAAATCTTAACAAATAATCCAAAATAGATGATTGGTTTATTCATGTACATATTTAGCATTACTTGAATAATAGACTTAAAGGCGATGCAGTATTCGCCAGTAATTTGAACTAACTTCTTATTCCTTTTACCGCTTACGTATTCGCTGGTTTTTGGAAATGACCTTCACAAGCAAATGATTATTGGATGAGGAAATGTATCGAGCATATAAAATGTTTCTACCAGCTACTCCATAATTCATCAGCTATCGAATTGAAGTGGTATTTCATTTTCTATCTAACCGAAGGTTTTTGTTTTTTTCTATAGGATTAATATCATAAACTTCTCTTTATTTGAGCAGTATATTTAACGTATATTTCTGAACAACCTAGATAAACAGGGGAACACGTATGTAAACGAAATAATTGTTGATGTTAATCGTCAGTGCTTCTAAGACTTACTGATTTCATCACTGTAAACTTTATGCTATTTTAATTCAGTTCGAGTATGCTGAAGTAAAGTTATTTATTATACATTACACTTTTCCGTTCGGATTCCTGTTTATGTTTGTCTTTGTATTTAACTTACCCACGTTCGAATTCATTTTAAAGACCCAATTTAGATGTATGAACAGTATGATTCTGAGATGACCACTGAAACACAAACCAGACAAATTTAAAGAACAAAATTGATTATAGGTGGGTATGTGTTGGGGACGTTAGATCCTCAGAACTCGCTTGATAAATGCCTTATTTTACATTTCATGTTTGCGAGCATGGACTGATCAGTTGAACTTGAGATTTCATTTCTCATCAGGGAAATCCTTGGCTGTGATTGGCTGCTGTGTATTTTGGTGTGCTATTTTGTGACTCTCCCTAGGACGTTTCTATGATGTATAAATAAAGGATATTTGTGTGTTTGATCGTTTTGCGCTTGCTGGGCGTTTGTAGAATATACTTTCCAGGCTACATCAAGACTTTTCATTAGTCAGCAGACCAGGGTAGCCTACCTGGATGCTGGTTCATTGTTTTGTTCTCGTTTATCGACTAAGGTGAACCCGTAATAGTTTCAAGCACACATAGTGACGAACCTAACAAGTGGTGACTGTAGTTTTGGAAACATGGATCCTGCCAAACTTGAATTATTGCTTGAGCAGCAACTGAAACTGATGCAAATGATGACAGATATAAAGATTTCCTCTTCCACACAGCCCAGCTCATCTAATGCAACCACAGCTCCCTCAGTCGACGGCATCGCAAATAGCATTGCTGAATCTCATTATGATCCTGATACCTAGGCTACTTTTGACATGTGGTTCCGGCGATATGAAGAGTTATTTAAATTTGATTTCGATAATCAAGATGATGCCTGTAAGGTTCGGCTTCTACTTCGAAAGTTGGGTGCAAGTGAGCTGGACAAGTACTGCAATTCGTTCCTGCCTTTGAACACAAGTCCATAATTAGCTCGTAATTGGTATTCATTTTTGCCGCCTGCTGACACCGCATGCATTTTTCAACTAACGCTGTGATATGTTGATCCGTGGGAGGCCAGTATGCATAACTTCTGGCTATGGACTTCATTCGTGTAACCCCTGAATGACCGAGATGGAACTGTCTCAGCACTTTTGTACGAAGGGATTTTAGCACCACCACTCTTTCACCAAACATCAAACAGTCGTTCACGATGCTTCATGTCGCCATCAAACGTCTTCGACGGCCAACCGTTAGTGACATATTTCATCGTCATCTTGATGATGGGGTCGTTTGTAGAAGCATTTTGTATGTCAGTTGCAGACACCAGTGATGCCCTTATTGCAGTTGTCAGATAACATTCTGCGTGGTCTTCTACTGTTTTCCTTAGCCGCCACTTGATAGTCACTGCTGATGAGTTTCATACCAGGACGAAACAGCCGATCAGTGCTCCCACGCTTCCAGGTCTGTCATCTAACATTGATCGATTCATGATTTCAATGTAACAGTTTTTAGATTGTGTTAAGAAATCGACTTTTTATTTAGATCACTTACATTCCGATAACCTGAAAATTGGCTTTACCTTCTGATACTCATGTTAAGCTTCATTGAAGGTCGTCATTAGAGTGTACTTCCATTGCGGTCACTTAAAAATGTCTTTCTTTCTCCGTATTTACATTCTAGCACCATTTATCATTCAGCAGATATATAAATAAATGTATGTACATAAAACTATACCAAATGCGCATCAGTTCAAGATTTCATGTTACATAGTGGTGAGCGAACCGATAACCAGTAGATGTATAGCTCTGTATTAAAACACTTAGAAAAGATATGAATTAAAAAGCACTAAATAAATAAATTCTTATATCTTTGTTCAAGGTATTCCATGAAAACAAGAAGTGAAGTGATCTTAGTCATAATGCTGAATATCGAATGACCTTATTCTATGATTGTGACCGTTGATTTTTATTTTCTCCGGGACTTCACTATAGTAGTTCATGCTTTCCAAAATGACCTATACAGAACAATCATGTGAGATGTTAGATAGAGTTTTTCGATGGGGAAACCTTTTTGACCGTGTTTTTTGTGTCGCTGGGCCGTCGTCAGCAAGGCGTACTTGTAGTCTTAAGAGAACTAGTGCTATCCGTGGACTTGAACATAGGTCACCCAGTTTCACAGTCTGAGACCACTGAGATAATAATAATAATTTATTCTCAAATAACGAACATTTTACAAGAGGCATGACAATTTACAGTCAAGATCAAAATTTTAAGCTCGGCAACATCTTTATTTTAAAACGGTGTACAGTCACTGAAATATTTCATAAGGTACATGGGCTCCATTTAGATGGTCTGCAATGTACAACGTGTTTAATTGGCGTGACTTACGACGAGCTTTTTAATGACACTGAAATAATGCAAGGTAGAGCCAGGTCTGCATATAACAAGAATCGGTGAGTTAAATGTGCCAAGAACTGGTTGATAATAATAATAATAATAATAATAATAATAATAATAATAATAATAAGAAGAAGAAGAAGAAGAAGAAGAAGTAGAATTAGAACTGGTTGATAATTTAACAGGCCCTTCGGTAAAGTAACCAAATCTTCGGCAAATATCCAGACTAATACATAAGTATTGGAATAAGGTGCTGAAGAAATAGAAATAAAGAGAACGGGGCGAGGAGCAGAATAGAAAATATTCTTGTTTAAAGACAAACAATGACTCAGCACATACGTTTTTGAGTAAAACAAAGGTATGTTTACTCAGACGTTTTATACTAGAACACTAACTGTATACCTGCATTTATGTAGGTTATTGAAGACAATTCAGTAGTAAGATAACGAATGGACAATTAGTCGTATGAATATAGGAAACTCAGAATAACCGAATTGTTGGCAACAATGTTGACTTACAGAATCTATTAGTGAGGCTCAGAGTTCCTATGGTTTTGTGTTATTTTATTTATTTTTTCTTTTTAATTCTGTGGCTCAAGAAGTCATGAATGAGATCTCTTTCTGTATAATTCTCAAGATCTGCTTGTAGTAGGATTTCTTGGTAGGAAGTTAAAACCAGTACAAGGTTACGGACATGAGTCGTAGACGAGGTTGACAAGGAAAAGTAACATCAATATCACTGATTTGTTACATCCTGCTATATCGTAAGAAGTCGTAAGCAAACAAAACATTCTGCCACACAGACATGGGTAGATTGAGGTTATCGCTCCACGTCATCAATGGTGATCAGATACACCACCCTCCCTCCTTTTGTGATGTTACGCTCTCTTACGTTTAATGGTTGATTGTAAATAATGTTTTCTAGTCTACTCCCTATTTTTGTACAACTTTTCGGAATTTGCTTTCTCTACTAGCTCCACGTTACAAGCAATTCAGTCAACTTTGCCTTCTGTTTGAAAGACAAAATATCCACGTAGCATGCCAGACTGAGTTTAAGTAAACTAATGGTACAAATTGTAAGATATATATCAGTTCATATGTAGTTTGGAGATAGGAAAGACAGTAAGCTGGAAAAGAAGAAAGAAAAAAGACTTGGAATAATGTTAAAAATTAATGAGAAAAGCGACATATCGGTAAGCAGACAAGGCGTCTGGATGCTAATGAACTGGGGAAATAAAACTTTATTAAACTGTTATTACTTAAACAAGAAGGAACACACAACGCTACAGTGAGTTCGAGTTCCTTGTAACTGACAGTAGCTGATTAGAATCTACAGGCATAACCTATTACTGTTAGTAGGAGCAGGGGGATTTGTCGATTATTTAGTGATACCTGCATGGATAGTTATGCGGGCATAAAATGTTCATAGACTGTAATTAGTTTCTAAGGTGCATCTATACATTTGGTGGACAATAAAATAGTGCCTGGGGACTTGGTGTGAGTTCCGTGAATAGTTGATAAATCTCTTTAGAGTCTAACAACAGCATGACTAGTTTCTTGAACTTAGTGATTGTGTCACAGATACGAATAGTAATTGGTAACCTGTTCCACAATAGACTGTATCGTATTACAAGGAAATTACAACGCAATCATTTTTTGTGTTTTGCCGTTAATAGTGTACAGGCATTGTTTCCAAGTCTGTAAGCAGTGTCGTGGTTCATAATTGGGCGGTATTTTATGAACTAGAGACCATTTATCAGTTTATAGAGAAGTATTAGGTTGTTTTTCAACCGACGGCGGCATAGAGGTTCTGTAAATGAATTTCTACAGTGGCCGTTCCAATGGGTTCCAATAGGTGCACTCCTGTACGATTCTCCCAGTCCCAGGTCCAAACAAATCAAAAAGGACAAAAATTCTAGGAGAAAGCGTCTTATTTAAATAAAAACATGGAAATACAAAGCATTACCTGGAATTAATGCTCCTTCCAGGATACAATTACTCCGAAGAGTTTCAGAAACAGTGATAGATAAGTGACGCT